CTAACCTTTTATTGTAGGCCTGGTGGTTAAGAGATTATACATTTTAATTTCAGGGTAGTTTGCTTGTGCAGCCTACTTGAACATCTGGAGAAATGGCAGTGTGTGCCCTGGTAACAATGTTCCTTTGGTTTTTGTGGTTGTCCGAAATGAATGTTGTTCTCCAAGTACCGTATGCTAAAAATAAATCAGGGGCTAGTGAAAGTCATGGCCTCTTTAGATCCAATACACTTTCAATATTCTAAAGAGTCATTACCATTCATAGCATTGGATTTTTAGTGTGTGCAAAATTTAGGAGCCAGTTAACTTCTCATAGGCATCTAGTTAGTGGTAAAAACTTGCTTCTTGACCTCTGTCGTAACCTTGGAGCTACTGTGGCTACTGGATGCTTGGAGGTTGGATAAAAAGTGGAGCCCAAAGTTAAGAAGGAATTGAATATATTTCAACCTACAGAAAATGTGGCTTATATCTGATTTGTACAGTTCTAAATAAAGAAATAAATATGGCCACCGGCCAGGTCTGACTGAATACAGATGTTGTTCAAAAGGATTTGCTCTATGTTGCTCAGCACACATGACCAGGATAATCGGGTGTTGTGAACTGCTTGGAATGTAGCTGAAGGCTTCCAAGTTAACATAAACTGGACTTGAATTCACAGTGTAGAGCCACAAACTTTCATTTTGCTCATGTTTAATACTTAAGGTTCTGCAAGCTTTAGTTTTGCTGGCAAAAGCTGAAGTCTTTCTTCTGTCCTTGTGATTAATAAGGCCATTTACGGATTGAAAGCATTTGCAGGCATCTCTGGGGTTTTTTTGTGGTCTGGAAGCAGGGATTCTATACATTCCATATTATTTTCCCCTTGAGTTGGGGGAAATGCCCATACAAAAATCCAGTGCTTTTTAGAACTTTATGTAATGCAGAATGAGATGGTAGAGTGCCAAATTGTATATGCAGAGATTCATTTTGTGTGTGTTTGTGTTTGTGTTTGTGTGTGTTACTGCTCTCCTATTTTTTAAAACAACAACAACAACAACTGTGCATGTAATAAGTTAGCAGGGAGAGGACTGTTCTAAGCTCCCCCCCCAATCTATTGGTTATATGCAGAGTACTTCTTTCTGATTGGGCAAACATTTAAAAATAATCATACACAACCCATCAGCATTCTGAAATAAGGCAGAATTCCACTACTGCATTCTGTGGCTTGGGTCTGGCACCTGTGGCCCTCCAGATGTTGTTGGATTCCAACTTCTGTCAGCCTCAGCAAGCATGCCTAATGATCAGGGATGGTGGAGGTGGTAGCTCAGCAACATCTGGAGGGCCACATGTTCCACATTTAGATGATTTGAATGACCTACGATGAGCCTTGGGCTTGTGTGCTCCACTATCCTTTCTCCCAATTCATATGTAAGGGTAATTGGTTTAATCCAGCTTTGGCTCTTTTCCTGTCCACATGGGCAAAAGAGGAGAGGGGAAGACCACATGTGAGCCCTGACGTTGCACTTTCTTTTCAATCATCTCTAAGCCACCTTCTGAACTGGAGCAAGGGAATGTGTAGAATGGCTTTTGGATTCCAAATTTATAGACAACTCCAGAGCACCGGAGATCACAGTTCTTGAAGCCTCTTCCCAGAGGCTGTGGCAGTTACGACTTGATGCAGCTCTATGGCTCCTTCGATGCAGCGGCCATGTTCAAACCATGGTAACATTTGGGCACGTGTTTCTCCCAGTTCTGCCTATATTCCTGTTCACCTCAGCCCAGTAGGACCAGCCCAAGCACATTCTAATGCCTGAGATGAAGAAAACGCATATGGTAGCACCCTTGTCCTCTGTGGTAAAAACCAGAATGCAAAATTCAATTAAATGAGGGGAGGTATCTTGTCAGTAAGATACTGTCTAACATGCGTTGCTTGAGGCAGCTGCCTCACAGGAGAATGCTTTTGCTATTTGACAGGATTTCCTTCCTCTAGAAGCAAATACAGCCTTATTCCCTTTCCACCTCTGTTGTTGAGGGACTGCTGTCGACTGTCGCCACTCTTGTGGGAATGTCTCTGATCAAGCTGAGCTTGACTCCTATCACCTCAGTATGATTTCAGTGCCTTTTATGGCTCTTTCCTCACACGTAGGAGTGAAAAATCTGCTTGTTTGACAGGCCTTTTTAAAGGAAGGATACGTGAGCCCTTCCTGTCCAATGTAGCTCACACCATTACTGCCTAGCGATAATGTCTACATTTGTGCACTGCTGCAGGTTAATAAAAAATAAAATGAAGGAAACTACTTTGAGGTAATCGAGGTGCTTTTATGACTGATGACTGGCACTTGGTGGCAGAATATTTTCTAACTGATTTATTGTGTCACAACGTTTCATTGCACACACAAATCTTACAATAGTGTTTTGTTTTTGAGTGACACAGAAGTTGCCACAGCTGGGAATCAGAAGAATGAAACAACCATTGAGGGTGGGGGGGAGAGGGGCGAGATCCAAAAACAGTTTAAATACAGTGTAGTTAAAAGACTGTGGCATATTTACATGAAGGCATGGGCAGTGTCAGTCATGTAATCCAAAAGTTGGGATTGGCCACTCAGTCTGTCAACACCCTGTTCAGAATTCTCTGCCTTTATGTGAATATGTACATTTATGGGTATATACAGTGCTTTTTTCGGGGGGGGGGGGAATGCAGGGGTACACATACCTCTAAACATTTTGTGAATCTTTGTACTTTTGTCCATTTACTGTATTTATTTTCCCCAATTCGAACTGTAAAATGGTGATTTTCTTTGAGTCAAAATGAGAGTACCCCTAAACATTACCTGCCCTTTCCCATAAGTCCCTGGGCAATAAAATGCACTTATTAGTCAAATGAACAATTACAGCCGTAAAGCCATAAAGATGTAGAAGCAGTTAAAAACAGGTCCACATATAAATCAATTTGAAACAATTCCATATACAAAAATTACAAACATTTGAAAACAATGCTATATATGAAAACAGTTGTATGTGTGCTTAGTATACATATATGTAATATGATCTCTCTCTCCTGCATCAAGCGAGGCGCCAGGTTAGATTGTATACAAGGTGTCCCCTCTTTTTTATTATTCTAATTTAATACCCAAAATTTAAATGCACATTTTAAGTAAATAAATTAGTTGCTTCCATAGCAATACAAAAAAGTCTTTTTCTTTTAAAATTTGTTGAAATTTGTCTAAACAAAACAGTTTGAGGATTGCCAGGATAGAAGTTCATTTCAAACTCCTTGAATTTAAGGTCATGTTTCTGTACAAGAGCTGTGTGCGCAATGGAACGTTGAGACATTTCCCCCCCATGTTACAGCTGCTCCTTTGAAACCTCAGTAAGAGTCTCCCAAGGGGCAACTGGGAAGCGCACAATTCTCAGTGTGTGTGGTGAAAGAGTGAATACTGTTTATTTCCTTTTTCTGTTGGTTTTACTTTTTGGGAAATTCTCTTGTGAAATCCCAATTTGCCTTTTAGATTTGGAGGAACAAATCAAAGAAGTGAAGCACTTCAGAAACAACCTGAATGCCTCTTGAGGCAACCTTGCCCATCTACATTGCGGTGTTTCCTTATAACTTGTATACATTTTTTCATTCTGAAGAATGGAGCTCTCTCTCTCTCTCGATGAGAGTCGCTGAACTTACCAATAAAACCTCGGCTTTGCAAATTTGACATATAGAATGAGAAACATCAAACACCGGAAAAGGTCCACCAATATTCACTTGCTGTGTTACATAAATTTCAGCAGCGTTTGTGAAGGGGAAGTTCTAAGTAGACGGAACTTTTTTTATTACCATCATAAAATATGTTTTGGATCAGCATACTAAATAGTTTAGATGCATAAATATGATACCTGTTTTTCTGTAGATAGATGCATAGGATCTCTTGGCCTGAGTCCTTATGTAGATCTGAAATAATAAATCAGTAACATATTGCATAAAGGGACAAGAAAAAAAAGGTTGCTTGTTAAGCAGAGATTTGGGTGTATTTAATTACCAATGGAAGCTTACTGCAGGACGATTTGTATTTAATAGTGTGGATGTGAGTTGACAAATCGCTTACCAAGAGTATTAGATTAATTTTAAGCTGTGTAATCTTGATCCAAAATGGATATGATATGATGCAATGCAATGCTATACATAGTTAGAAATTTATAGAACCATGCTTAAATAAAAGAGATCCATTTTATGTAGCAACTGCCTCTTTCAGTTGCTTCGTTCAAGAGACAAACTGAAGTATTGCTATTGGACCAGAAGCCCACTCTTTGTATTCATCATGACTTTTTCTACTACTGTTAGGGATTTCATTCTCAACCTTTTGCACCTTAATAACTCCTGCCTAATGTATTGGGTTTTTAATATAATATTCACACTTTCTATCTGTCTTCCATCTGTCTTATTGTGGAATTAGCGTTGTGGTTGTTATCCTCCTATCTCCAGTTCCTGAGAAGAGAACTGAGAAAGTTGTGGGTGTAATGCCCACATGTGTTGAAAGTCAAGTAAACAGGAACTAAAAAACAAAACAAAACCCCAAGCACTGGAACATTTAAAAGACATAGGATCTACACTGCTAAATGGAACAAAGTTTAGTCTTTGAAGTGTGAGAACAATCCATAGCCTTTCCTCAGAAAATATTACTTAAAGCAGCATGGCTCTCTCATTGAGGGGACTGATCAAATTCATACCTCCTTAGTTTTAGCAACTCTACAGCATCAGGGATTTGGAGTCCAGTCATCATTCAAGCTCCGATAAATGCAAAAATATTTGTTAAATATTTCTCAGCTCAGTTGTATCCCTTTATTTTGTGTGTTTGGAGAACTGGGGAACTGAAATCAGCACATGCTGCTTGAGTTAGTATAACTTTTCCTAAGAAGTGGCTGAGCTAGACCTTTTCCTTCTCCAAATATTTGGAATATACCTGCAGTGTTAAACTTGTAAGGAGAATCTTACCAGATGGTTGATTGATTTACCTTCATTTCCCCCCTTCTCTCTCTAGAAAATAGCTCCTCAAAATGGAGGACGGGAAGCCTGTCTGGGCTCCGCACGCGACTGATGGGTTTCAGATGGGATTAATTGTGGATATTGGCCCTGATACCTTAACTATTGAACCTCTAAATCAAAAAGGCAAGGTAAGTATCTCCAAAAAGGTGATTACAAACCTTTCAAGAAATTGTTTTAGTTGAAGAGAAGGTGTATGCAATGAGGGTGAGGCTGTTTGTCAAGTAATTTAGAATATTGATCATACCTGCAGCTTTGTTCCTGTGACACATGATTTGGGGCGCCAGACTGCCTTTGAAGCTCCACTCAGTGGCTTGATCTGTGTTATGGTCTGCTGTTGGGGGAAAAAAAAAGTATTCCAAAGTACACAGTTCTGTTAAGGCCTCTGAAAGCGGAAGTAGGAAATGTGTACTATGTCATATGGGGACTTGTAAATACACTGCTTTCTTTTCTGCATTTCCTATTCTGCATTTCCTTATCATGTACCTAGTTTTAAACTGGAAGTTGTTGTGGTTGGGTGAGTTGGTCAAGATCCAGATTTTTTCAGGTGATTGATCATTCCTCAGGAAAACCTACTGTATTGGCCCGTATATAAGCCACACCCGAATATAAGCCGCTCCATTCCTTGCTGCTCCTGGCTGCATACTGGGCGGGGGGAGCCATGTTGTGTTGCCGGCGGCCTTTCCCCTTCCTTGCTCTCTCCCTTCCTGGCCTTGGGGGAGAGGACGGGGGACTACGTGTGGGGCGGGTGCCACGCTCCTGCTGCGCTCCTGCCGCTGTTTGCCCCACGCTCCTGGCTGCATACCGTAATGTCGTGAATATAAGCTGCACTTTAACTTTTCATGGTCGGAATTTGGGGAAGAAGTGAGGCTTATTCAGGCCAATATGGTATACAGTGGTACCTCAGGTTACATACGCTTCAGGTTACAGACTCTGCTAACTCAGAAATAGTGCTTCAGGTTAAGAACTTCGATTCAGGATGAGAACAGAAATCGTGCGGCGCGGCAGCAGCAGGAGGCCCCATTAGCTAAAGTGGTGCTTCAGGTTAAGAACAGTTTCAGGTTAAGAACAGACCTCTGGAACGAATTAAGTACTTAACCTGAGGTACCACTGTATTTCTGTCTTTTATGAGATATAACAAGCAGCCACGAAGTGTTACTATAATGCACCTTTGGGCAACTTAATCTTGAATGTATTCTTGTTGTCAATCTTATGTCCCACCCAAGTGAAAGACCTATATTTTCTGGAAGATCAGTACTTTATAGTGTCAGGATCTCTTCCAGCTCTACAATTCTATGAATCTATGTAGCTCTCTAGCTGAGGGAACCTAAAATGTAGGTGAGCTGTCTTAAATTATCCATTATAAAATCATTGTGGATACTTCTTTGAGAAAATTGAGATTAATCGCTGCTGTATGAGCAATTGTTGGTATTTTTCAGCATGTTTAAGCACCATTCATGGGAGACAATAATACTTGAGAGTCTGCTGGATTGTGAGGCAGCGGCTGTAAGAGGCTCATTGAGAAATGTCATAGCAATGATTTCGATGTGTCTGTTTAAGGTTCAGCACCTCTTCAGAGGCAAAGTGGATGTAGGCCACAGAAAACTGGAAGGGTTACACCTCTGTTATCGCTGTCACTTAAATTGATACGGTAACTTCGTTCAATGTTAAAGCTAAGATGGATCTATTAACAAGACTCAAGCTGTCACGATGTATTTAATTTTAGTTTGTAAGAGATACTTTTTCGGTGAAATTGTTACTCATTTGGCTAATTGTCTCTGTAAGAATACTTGGCAAATGTCGTGTTTCATACCAATTTATGTACAGAATATATCTGGGATCTGGAGCTACTTTATTTCTGGATAGATTACAGGCTGAACTAGACTGATGTAAATCTGCAATAGACACTGAAAACCGTGGTCATGCTTCTGCTCACTCCTCTCCCATAATGGATTGGGTCCAGACCAACTACTAATGGTGGTAGTAATATTAGCAGTATTAGTAGTAATATAAATTATTGCTAGTTTATTTGCGGACCTCCTTTTATCTGAAGACTGCAGAGCAGTGTGCATCATAATATAAAACCAGACAACGGAACTACAGTATACATTAAAATGTCCTTAAATTTAACATTAAAATTAAGTGACCTCAGAAGACACTGTCAAGGATTCAAAAGAGCCCTAATACCTCAACTTCCTCCAAAAGCCCAAGTAAATAAATGCAACTTTAAAAGTTTCTTAAAAGACAATATGGAGAGATCCAGTTGTACGTCCAATGGGAAGGAGCTCCATAAGTGAGGTATCACTATGGAGTGGTGGTGACAGCAGCAGAGCCTCTTGGGTGGGGCACACTGGCAAAGGCACTCTAGCAAAGTATTTGTGTCCTGCACCATACTTAGGCTTAATTGAAACCAGTGGATCAAGTTAGCCATGTTTTAAGTCCGATTGATTACATTAGGACCAAAGTTTACTAACTAAGTTTGAATCTGACTCAATGCCTGGTGCAGCTTACTTCATATTGTGACACCACAATATGGATTTCCCTCACCTTGCATCGTTTGTTGGTGGTGCAAAACGTGGGAAGTTGTGACATTGTAACACAAGGCAATTGTACTAGATGTTACTTGGGGAAGCTAGATAGTTAGCTGCCATTTTCAGCTGCAGTCATACAACTAGAAGTATCTTGGGCCTTCCAAAAGTTGCCGAACTACAACTCCCATCAGCTCTGTCCATTGACCACACTTGCTGGGGCAGATGATAGCTGTAATTTTGCAACATCTGGAGGGCCAGAGGTTAAAATAATGTCTAGAGTTCCCTGAAGTTAGTAATGCTATTAATAAATATGGTTATTATTTTGAAAAGGTTGCTATTTTGTTGCAGTTTTTTAAAATAAGCAACTGTTCCTGTTGCGTGACTCACAAAGAATCCATGAGGCACAGGTAAACAATGTACAGAAAATCAATAGGTTGTAGGTTTATTTATTTTTACCCTTTGTATATCTAAATTTGGAATGTAAGACTGCAAAACAAATAATAACACATTGATGGTTGGTGGAAATTCTAGTTGTAGGTCAAGAGGTGAAGCCACAGGCTTCCTTCTGCCAGGGAAGCTAGGTATATCGCCTAAGGAAGAAGTCCGGTGAGAAGGAAGTTGGTGGGTTTTCCTCAGGCATAATCAGTGCTTTATTCTAAATAAATGTTTAGGGGGTACTCTCATTTTGACTCAAGAAAATGTTGAGGGTGTTGTAAATATGTCCAATTTCTTTCTCAGTAAATGCAGGCTTCCAGAAGGTGTTGCCATGAGACATGGGCTTGTCCACATTTGAGCCTTATTTAGCTGTTAATACACTTTTTCCTCACTTGAATTAGACCAGAGCAGTCCAGACTAAGAACCATTTTGTGTCTGTGAGTTCATGTAGGACCGTGAGTTCACTAGGTCTCCTGAGGCAAGCCATTCTCTTGGTCTTAGTCCTGCTTCTGCAGGTAAATAATACTAATCCACCTTATGGGGTTATTGTAAGGATTTCTGCAAGATAATGTAAGTGAAGCAGCTTGAAAATATGGAAATGCTATATAAATGTCACGTGGTATTTTGATATTACATTAAATTAAACTTCATTTTTCTCCATGAAAATTAATGTGATTAACATGTTGGCTGAATCCCGACCAGCATTGCAGATAAGGGGTATGTTTTTTGAAATCAAGAGATCTCTGATAATGGGATGGAATTGGACATTCCTTCATAGCTTAAATCCCATTTATTTTAATGGGACTTGGTCATAGCTAAATTTTACTGAATTGTGCTGAAAGTCAACTTGTGAAGCCTTGTGAAACATTTTTATTTGGATATCACTTTTTAAGTGGATGACAGTGATGCCCTTTATTTATAATTTATTTTAATTCTAATGTCTTTTTAAGAATCATTTTTCAAAGAATCTCAGATGTGAGGTGTCTGAAAACCATTTTCAGTAAAGCTGAGAGGGACAGCTGATACACAGAAGTAAAAACACATGCTCAAGCACTGCAAATATACATGTGTAATCTAGGAAATGTGTTTAAAAAGTATGCTAAGGGATCTAGTATATTATGACTGTCTATATGTCTTACTTAGCATGAGCTCTTTATCCCCCTCTGCCGTCTGCTTTCTTCTCGACAAAACTGATCCTCTTTTGATCTCAGCAGAACCATATGTTTATTTTAATGTCTGCATTGACGTGTAATTGCTTGTTTAAAATAAATTGGTTGCATTTCAACCAATTGCAAGTTTGCATAGAATGTCCCCACATAAACTTCCCACCTCTCTTCTCTTTGATGGAACGTGTACAATTTGCACAAAGGGAAGAGGACACTAGTCCTTCTTGTAGCAGCTTCTAGCACCCATGGGGTGCCATGCTGAGGTCCTTGTGGGAGGGCTTCCAGAGGTGTTGTGGGCTTCCTCTAGAGAAGGGCAGTTTCAAAAACCTTGTGTATGAGTAGAAGGGTTTGGGGTCTACCAAGTGTTACTATTAGCAGTTCTGTTGTTGTCAGATGGGTAACCCGCAGTCGACAAAATATTTGATATGGTGGTGCATGTTTGCAGTTTGTTTTAACTGGAATGTTTCTGAAGGCTGAATTACATTAAAAGTCTTTATTAACCCAACCTGCAACATCACAAATTGGATAGTCAAGTGTAGATGTAGGCAAAATATAACAGTTTTGCTGCTCAATGAAGTGAAACATCCAGGATGTTTGAAATCAAAGAAAGATACCTTGGTTTGCCTAACTTGGGGAGGACAAGGGACGGTAATATGGACTAATGGTCAGTCATCTCCAACATCCTTGCAGATGCACACTGGCTCAACTGAGGTTTCCAAAGACTCTTCAGATGAAGCCCCAGTAGAGAGCTTTGCAATAATCCAATCTAGATGGGACTAAGCCATGTACTGCCGTATGTTTGCCATACTTCCTAGGTTGGAACTCATGACCATTAACACAAATGCAGCAGCCTCAATCTGTAGTGTTCCCCGATTTATTTTACTGCATTTCTGATATTTGAATGGTATTAGCATTTTGGGGAAATCTGTGTGTCAGAAAAACTGACTGGGTATGCCTGAACCTCCCCCCTCCCCCCGTGCAGCTCAGTTTTTAAATAAAGTGCTTTCATGTAAATTGTTTCTTCAGATATCTTCTCAATTGATAGCTGAAGCCAACATTACCTTCTTTTTCAATTACAGACCTTTCATGCTGCTATCAACCAAGTCTTTCCTGCAGAAGAAGACAGTAAGAAGGATGTGGAAGATAATTGTAAGTGAAAGTTGTAAAACCTGGCTTGGCTAGCCAGCAGTACTTATTTCCCCATTCAGATCTTTAATTTTTGCAGTTAACCCATATGCTATAGTTATCCGAAGACAGGATGCATATTGTCTTGTGATCCAGACTCTGCTTGGAAGAGTGATTTGGGTCTTGAGCCCCAAACCTAGTTTGAATCACTCTGGCTCAGAACCAGGCTTTGCCACTGGTGGGAGCATCCTTGACGTGGAAATCTACCAAAGGCACACTCCCACCAGCAGAAGGTAGGAAGGCTACTTTTGATAGCTTCCTCTTCTTCTTGCAGCCCCTCCAGAACAGCATGGAAGGTGATCCTCAGGGCTGCAAGGGGGTGCGGGGGACAGAGAGGGAATTGGCAAAAGACCCCTCTCTCCCACTTCTTGCCAGCAGGATCTCTCTACTGGATCAACACTGCAGGTGGAAGCAGCCTTTGTATTTGTGGAGGTTGGAATTTGGATTCAGCCTTCTGCACATAGAAAGTGTGGGGCGTGGGGATACTGCATGCGCGAATCCATGAACTCTGTTCACCCTGGTTTACTTTTCAGAGAGGGAACACATTTTTGTGCTCACTGAATCAGAAATATAACAAATAGAATAAAGCAACACAGACCTTGATCTGAACTGCAGCTGTGTTGCCCTTGACTGGCTTGTTTAGATGTTAGATAGTATGGGGAAAGAATGAAAGCTATCCCAATATATCCCTGGAGAACAAATGGGCAGCTAACATTTCATTTCGAGCTGCTCCTTTCCGCCTATGATTGAAGAAAGTCTGCTGAAAGACTTATTACTAGCTTTTTGTGCAAGAGCACAAAATGTGGGTTTAGGGTGGTTTTCTAGCAGAGTGCTGTTGCTGCTTCCTGGCTGTCATTGTACTCATTATGGCCTGTACTACAGCCATTCAAAAAGTAAGGTTTATTCCTGTAGGTATGTTTCCATTTTTTTAAATAATATTTTTAAAATTAGTTTTACATAAAGATTATACACACAAAAAAGAAACAGAAAAAGAACAAGGTTCTCTCGAACCTTCAGACCTCCCTCCAACCCTCCATGGGTTCAATTTCTAATCCCCCCCCTGCATCTTTTACTGTAATCTATCTATTATATATCCATCATATAAAAAGTTCATGTTACTTTACAAGTGTCATTGTATTCCTGCCAATGATTTCAACTGTTTACAGTGGTCTCTCAAGTATATTGAAAAGTTAATCCAGTCTTTCACAAACTGGTCTTCCTGATTTCTGATCTTTCCCATCAGTCTTGCCATTTCAGCTGTTTTGTAGGCGTGTTTCCAAGAGAGGAACATAATTTTTTTGTCCCCCCAAGGGCTCACTATGCATGTTTAGGTACCATTTTAAACATATTATGCCTGCGTGTATAATAATAATAATAATTGTATTAATTTTTTATTAAATAAACAAGTTTATTTCTATATTTATTTTTTATTAAATAAAAAAGTTTATTTTTATATTTACTTTTTATTAAATAAAAATATATATATACAGCATAACAACAAACAAAACAATACCCCCCCCCCAGTTTCAAAGGCCATAGATTCTTTAATTAGCCAAAGCTCTGGGAGAAGAGGGTTGTTTTTGCCTGCTGCCTAAAGCCACCAGGTGAGCTTCTCTGGGGAGAGCATTTGTTTTCTGTGTACTATTTGGAGGTGAAGAAAGGTAATAAAAACTGGAACAAGTGTGTGTGCTGTGTTATAAAACATCGCTGTGCTTTCCTTGTAGGTTCGCTAATGTATTTAAACGAAGCCACACTCCTACACAATGTAAAAGTTCGATACAGTAAGGACAGAATTTATGTAAGTACTGTACTGACTTGTAAAATGTGGAGGTAGAGGTGTTTGTCACAAACAATGGCTCAAGCCACGTTCCAGAATCCAGGGAACCTGTGTGTGAAGAGGCAAACCTACAAAGGTTTCTCTACCTCAGATGGCCCATGCTTATAACGTATGGCCCCACAGCCCCTTTCTAAATGTTTTTCCTCTTCCCCTGAGTTACAAGAATATGGCATGTTAATAGCAAAGATGCATTTCCCCCCTTCCTTTAAAAAACAAAACAAAAGAAGCACATGCCACCTCTGACCCTTCCTAGCTCAGTTGGCCAACTTAATCTTTTATGTAGCTATCAGATTGCCTGATTGCATGTAATGAATTCTGACTAAATGACACATAGTCCCCACCATCTGCTCTGGCAAATGACAGCTGTGAAATAGAAGGAAGAAACTTTTGCAAGGGTGCCAGAAACAGATACGCAATTATATCAAATACATTTCCCCTCCTTTCTGCACTCCTGCCCCCTAAACCCTAAGTTACATATTTTGTCTGCATTGGGCTCTTATTACGATTATTGCTATTAATTTCATTGCTTGGTGTATAATTGCACAATTTTGGAAACGGTTCTTAATTGCAGATTATACGTTTAACAAATGCAGCTTTAAAAAACACACGCGGTTGTTACATATGCTTTGACTTCAAAATGGTTCTGAATTCAAGTGGCTCTTGAAGCGATGAGACTGACCTTACGGATACACAAGTCCAATCTCAAAGTCAGGTTCTCATTTTGAATTTTGTAGTAGATCTCTAGAGTCTTTAGAAATTCCAAATCAATGAAACACGGTTATGGATTTTCTTTCATGTTTTCTTTTGGCAGACATACGTAGCCAACATCCTGATAGCAGTGAACCCGTACTTTGATATACCTAAACTTTACTCATCAGATGCTATTAAAAAGTATCAGGGTAGATCACTAGGGACACTGCCCCCGCATGTCTACGCAATTGGTAAGTAGTATACCATTTTGCCTTTGCTTCCAATCCTGATGCATTTCTTTTTGTTTTGTTTATTTGGCTCATGATATTAGGGTGTTTTCTCACTTGTTTTAAACAGAGAAAAATGGGTAATTGTCTCCAGTCACTAAGGTGCCCTAAGATGGTGCCTGGTATTAGTAATGGATTTTAGGAAGTCTAATTAAACTGAATCTGAATTGAGACAAGATGGGAGAACTGGTAGGAAGTCCATCTGAACATGGTCAAGGTAGTTTGCTTGTTCTTGTTGGGATTATGATTTCCTTCAAGGATTAGGTCCACTCATGGATGCCTGCATAGCATCTGGAGCCAGAAGTGCCTTTCATTAACCTTGTTTGGTGTGCCTGCTTTGTATGGTCTGATAGAAAAATGATCTAGCTGCCGTTGTTTGCTTGCTTATTTATTTATAGAAGCATTTTTATATCCCTGATTTGTGCAACGTAATACGGTAGTGTATAGCAGTGTATGCAGTAAAATATAAAACATCATAAAACAGTACAAAATGGTTTAAATGGCTGATCAAAAAATTAAAATAGTTGCCTAGGCCTCTCTGCTTAAAAATATCTTCAAGGTATGCCTTAAACTAAAAAGTGATGGTACCTGCTGAATCTTTGCTGGAAGAGTGTCCCACAGCATGAGACCAGTGATGCTAAATGGCAGGCTTGTAGAGGCCAGTTGGGCCTCTGTAACTTGGGAGTCAACTAACAGTATTCCCCTCTATGATCTTACTGATCAAGCTGGGATATAAGGGCTCAAGCAGTCCTTAAGGTATGTTAAGGTCCTTAGGTAGTTCAGGGCTTTGTATATGAGCCTTGAAAGTGGCACGGTTAATATGACCAGTCAGTGCAGATGTTTTAGCCAAGGTATTGCATGCTGTTGGGACAGTCTAGAGTGGTCAGATTATCCCAAGTGGACCCTTAGGTTCTTAGATGCTAAGTAGCACTGGGGACATGACAGAACTGACATGTGGTTGAAAAACACTCATCTAATGCTACTCTAGACTTGACTGTGCAGATAGGAGTAGGGCCACTGTAATACAGCGCCTCCAATTCCCATCTCACACAGTCAATCAAGGAGGATACTGTGGTCAATGGTATCAAAAACCACTGAGAGATTGAGTGGGGAAAACAGGGTCACACACTTTCCCTCTCTCCATAAAGCACTACCAAGGCTGATTCAGTTTCAGAACTAGAACCCAGATGGAAGTGAATCCAGATAATCAGTGTCATCCAAGTACAACTGAAGTTCCACCATCGGTGCCCCAAAGGAGTATTGGTAACTGACTAGTAGTTATTGCAAACCATTGCACCCAGTGTGGGCTTTTTAAGTAGTGGATGCATCACACCCTAAATCCACATGGTCACCCTACTCCAGCTATTTTAATCTCTTGTCCATACATCGGCTGTCTCCAGGTTACATTAATGCAATGTGTTCTGTGAGGTTGCCCATTAACCACAATTATCATCCAATGGGCTTCCACCATTGGAGATGAGGTGGGTGCTTTCAGTGGTGTTGCCTCCAAAGCAACATTTGCTTCTGACTTCACTTTTTGCCATGTTAAAGACAGGTAGCTTGAGGGTTCTTTCAGCTCCCATTTTATTTTTTACTTATTTACTTCTGTTCTATTTGGACCTAGTTCCTTTAATGTGTTTGTTTTCTTAAAACCAACATCAACAAATATGAATTTCATATATTTGTCAGCCACTTTATAGATTGCATTGTATAAAAGTGGGTAATAAATGTTGTAAATAAATAAAGAAACATTATTTGTCTGTCTAGCATGATATTGCTTGTTGGTATTGGAAAGAATTCTCAGGAAGTAAATAACTTCAGGTGAATACTTCAAAACAATGTGATTTCATTACTTCAGATGATGCTTACACAAGAACATTACATAGTGTTCAAAAGGCTAATGAAAACATTGATCTGTGTTGTTTTATATGAATCCATTTTAATGTCCTCTTAAATGTTTACTTCAGCTGATAAAGCATTTCGTGATATGAAAGTACTCAAGATGAGTCAGTCGATCATTGTGTCTGGAGAGTCCGGAGCTGGCAAGACAGAAAACACTAAATTTGTTTTACGGTTTGTATATCTAGTTGAAAACATTACCATTGAATAAAATACCGTGTGCTGGCTGTTTTAATCTCTCTTAAGAAATCTTGAAATTCCTAATGGGTGTAATTCAGATACACAAAACAGTGTGGATGGCAATTCCAAGGTGGTTCCATTATGTACAGGGAGCCCCACTTGCCCCAGAGACTTCCTGGTGACAGGAAGCTTTCAAAATACGCATTGTGATTCTTTCATTGCACTCATAATTTACTTTTCTTTATTGCCCTTTGTCCTAGGAACTCAGGGATGGTGTTCATGGGTTTAACATCATTTTACATTCCCTGTGAAATTGCCTAGGCTGAGAATCAGTGGTGGACCCAGAGGTCAACTTCAGCTGAGGTCTTCCCATACCAGGACACTAGTTATTTGCCATGCTGTCTCACTGGATAAAAAAACAGTTTCTTCAGACACAGGACATACACATTCTAGGGTTCCACCCAAACGTTACATGTGTGAACACGGCTTATATAGCAGCATTTTCCCAACCTCTCTACCCTGCCCCCCCACGAAATGCAGGCCCATAAGGTCACTGAAAACCCTTTCCTAGGCACCACACCCCTCAGGGAAGTCTTCCTGAATTCCTTGTATTTATCTGTCTTGATTTTTCCAATTCCGCTCTTCCACTACATCCCGGTGCCACACCACACTCTTTCTTCTGGAAAGTTCCATACCTACTAGGAGAGGTAGTTGTAATTTGGAGGTCCCGACTGCACAAAAATTCTTTCACTTGCATAACTTTTGGATGCAGCCCACAACCAGGGAGAAAGGAGGGAAATGGCAGTGTCTGCTGTTCCTCAAGTAAAGTAATGCAAAAGTGGTGACATTTATTTAATCCAATTTATATAGCCACCCTTCGATAATTATTCCTGGGGTGGTAGTGGTGGTTATATAAATATGAAAACATATATTTGATAACGCTTATTTTCTTTCTCTCACACAGGTATTTGACTGAATCCTATGGCAGTGGTCAAGATATTGATGACAGAATTGTAGAAGGTACTTTGTCATGCTTAAATTTCATTTGTATGAATTAACAATAACTAGCTGAGGTGGAAGAAATAGGTATCACACTGCCATTTTGAAATGTGGTGTTGTATAACATCCTTACAACAGGCCATGTATTGGAAAGTATACTAATGAATGTGTCCAGTTATCTTACCAAGATACCAAATATGAGGGTGTCTCATTCTGTCAAGCTTCAGTTGACAAACAGTAGGCCCTTTCAGCATTTGACCTTGGAATGGTTATGGTCTGTAGGAATCGGGAATGAGCTTCCTTTCTCTCTTTAAATCCAAATCAGAAATACTGCCACCAGACTCAGGGCCTTGGATGCAAAAGCAACTATCTGTGGAAGTAGAACCTGAACCTGTTCTATGAACTCTTGTACTAGCACCAGTGGAAGACTTCTTCACCGCAGTGTGTCAGGGTTGAGTTACAGAAAGAGTGAGCCGGTAATGAGAGGGCTGTGAAAGGTTTTGGAGCTTGGGCAAAGTCTTGTGCAATAGCATACGAGAACAATAATTTTTCTGGGTTTGGAGTCACTCTTCTCATCCACATTAGAGCAGAAATGGGTTCAGGCCTTGAGGCCAAAAGTCACCCTCTAGAACTTGGGTCTCCAGCTGTTGTTGGACTACAGCTCCCATCATCTCTAGCTAGCAGGACCAGTTGTCAGGGATGATGGGAACTCCAAACCGCTGGAGAACCGAGTTTTGGAAAACCCTACTCTAAACCTTTCTCTGCGGACCCAGAAATCTTCCCTTGAACTATGATCCTGCCTCTAGCTCTTACTTTTCCTGCTGGAGAGGAGTGTATATTATTTCATTCATTCATTCATTCAATTTATATACTGCCCTCTACCAGAAGATCCCAGGTAGTGTACAACATTAAAAGCACATTACAGAACATCAATGATAAAAACATAATAAAAAACATACTGAGAGACAGCCTAATAGTAAAATAATCATAATAATAACAGTCCACTCCGCCACACTTTCACAGGCCATAGATAATAGCCATAGGCCTGGGTAAAGAGGAATGTTTTTGCCTGGCACCTAAAAACATGTAATGATGGTGCCAGGCGAGCCTCTCTGGGGAGAGCATTCCACAATCTGGGAGCCAGCACAGAAAGTGCCTATGTATGAATGTGTGTAGAAACTACCATAGGAAGATTGCACAAGAAGGGAATATGACCCCCCAGGCTGCAAACGGTCCCCCACCTCTGTACTGTAGTCTCACTGAGGCATTATCCACATGTAGACACTATGCATGGATTAAGGAAGCAAAAGGCCGTGTGCCACTGGTCAAGCCCCACCTCCTGCCCTGGCTGTCCATACATAGGGAAAGTGCATGCTTGAGCAACCATCAGCACATGGATGTCCAGGGAGCATGGCTAGTGCCGTCCATGCAGAATGTTGAGAGCGGAGCCAGTGGCACAGTCCCACTTCCCACCTGTAGGTTCTCTGCATGGAGACTATCTGAAGGTGGCTTAGGTGAGAAGCACCCCTTCTGTGAAGGGCAGGTTTGAATCCATGGCAGGGTTACGAGAAAGAATTTCTCCAAATTTGCATCCCTCTTTCAAAGGCTTCAAAAGATAGAACGGCGCAGAGCAAAGGATAGAACCATCCACCTTCCATACCTTTGGTACCATCCTGCAGTTCTTAATTCTTTTATGCCTGATTTTCAATGAGTCAGTATGCTCATTATAACATGTGAGAGTAAGATTCTCCTGTTCAGCTGGGCAATTAAAATTGTCCCATATGATGTTACAGACAGATATAGATAGATGGACAGAAAGAAAGCTAGATTTAGATACATAAAGAAAAAAGCTAAGTCCTGTAATGTGTGCCTTTGTGAAAGGGCACATTGCACTGGGGCACCGAAGGGTAGGCTAGACTGAGCATCTCTCTCCCTGCTTTCTAGCCAGTGTCAAACAGAGAGCAATGTGTCCACCTTTAGTGAATGATGAAAGACCTGAGAACGATGTTTCTTAAAAACAGTCAAATACATAGGCATTCCAAATTCATGGCTGACAGTTGGACGTAGCGTTTGAAGCTGCACAGTTCCTGAACCCTGCTACCTAGAGGTTTCAGGTTTTTTTGCAAAAGGGTTGGGGAGGAAGCTTTGAAAAAAACATTCTTACCTAGAACAGCTGCCACCGCTGCACACTAGCACCCGTCTTCTTTTGCACATCTTAATATGCATGTGTGCAGTGTGGCTGCATTGTTACAACAGAAGGACTTGTTCACAAAGCCTTTTTTGTAGCCTCTTCTAAAAAAATAAAAATCTTCTCACATTTGAAGTACTTGTAAACATTGAGTCTTTGTTGTGATTCTTTTGTGTGTTTGCCTGACAAATTGGATAGCTTGAAAGGTCACCTACCAACCCAAACTGTTTACTGTGTTACAAATCAAGGATAAAGAAAAAACAAAAAACACACACATTCAAGAAAATTAAAAAGTTGGTTGAGAGCTGTCAGCTATCTTTGTTTTTCTTTGGTATTTTGAGATCAGTACTTTTTGTTTTCTTTAAATATCCTTAGAGACAGAAGTCCAAATTCCATTTTAATGCTTGTACTTCTGCCCCCCCCCTTTCCCAATTCCTAAAACATTGTTGGGACTAAATAGATAAATGTTTTCTGAGGCAAAGGCAATTTTAAAATGTGGCGTTAGCTAAACGTGTGTGTGTAGCAGTAATGTGAATCTGAGGAGGACGGGACCTAAATGGGGACTTCCTTGAGTACAACATCCCTGCTGAGGCTTGATATTACATTCCAAATGGTGGGAGATACAGCAGAGGCAGTGATAAATATACATTTCTTAAGATTTCCCAGAAGCCTCTGCTGTTGGAAATACAATGCTGGACTATGTAAGCTGTGGTCTGGTCAAGCAGGTCAATTATAGAACAGGTGTGGGGACATGTGGGCCTCCCCACTGGTGCTGGACCTTTAACAACATGCCAGCGTTTCTTGAGGGCCTCAGGTTCCCCATCCCTTCCTTACGGTGATATTGCAATGAGCAATATCAGTGGCTTTGTTTTGTATTAATGATGCCTGCACCTGCTTAATATTGTTAATTTGCCTCGTACCTGCCCTGCATGGAAAATTTCCTTACCATTGGGAAACTCTAGCCTATTATTACTACTATTATTATTTTGTATCGGTTATTAGTTGCTTTACTTGTGGAAGTAACTCATAGGCTCAGTAGAAATACTAAAACCAACTGCAATAAGCAGAATAAAAACTTTTTTAAACCTCAATAAAAGACCGGACTTACAGATCCTGCCACACTAGAAGAGGCCAAAGATACTTAAAAACCCTTCAAATCCAGGGCCCAAAGCCCGGGTTTAAATGACAGCTTTTGCCTGGAGCCTAAAACTAGATAAAGATGGTGCCAGAGGGGTCTCCCTGGGGAGAGCAGTCCACAATTGCAAGTGGCCACGTGCTTATGCTGTTTTGCATTGTTTTTGATGGCTCGGTTAGTTGCTGAAGGAGGAGTGCAGTCTTTGCTGGCCCAGTGATGCAGCAACGCAGCTTAAACGCCATAGTCTGGGCAAGATTCCAGGCACCTGCTTGTTGCAAGGCCAGTGGTTCTGTTTGTGTTTGTAGCCGAGCCATGGGATCAGGGCTGTCCTTTCCGTTATCATCAGATAGTTGCCCTGATCTGGGGATCACAGAAGCAGTTGGAGGCCTTGTGTATTGTACTTCTCTCAAGGAATTAGATAATTCATGTGATTGGGGATGCAGCTGCAGTTGCTTTAAACAAGCTATTGAATGTGTGACATTTTTTTTCTGTCCAAAGCTAGCTTTTGCTCACCTGATAATGCTGACGGTTTCTGGGCAGCATCTTAAGGACTAGAGCAAAGTCTAACTTGCCTTATTTTCTTGAGGGTTTCTTTCTTGAATTGTGTATTGAAAAAAGGATGGAAGGGTGGAAATGGTTTGTGTTTATCTATAAGTATACAAGATGAGGTGATCTGCCTATAATTTATTTTGAAAAATATGATTTTATTCAAATTCTTTGAGAGAGTAACACATTTAGGGATTTAAAAATTGTGTTTGCTTTTCTGTGCTTTAAATAATTATTCTCCCCACTTTGCTTCAAATGGAAAAAATCATATTAAGCCATTTTCATTTTATTCTTATTTTAATAGCCAACCCCCTTCTAGAAGCCTTTGGAAATGCAAAGACCGTTCGTAACAACAACAGTAGTCGCTTTGGAAAATTTGTCGAAATCCATTTCAATGAAAAGGTATCAGTACTTTTTTGTGCATGGTAGGTTTGCACAGGAACTTCCCTTTTCTTTCTGTAATCTCATTTGGGAAATCCTTTTAAACATAACCATTTCCTCATTCAGAAAAGCTTTATTTTTCCCCTCCTAGAATTCAGTAGTTGGTGGATTTGTGTCACATTATCTGCTGGAGAAATCGAGGATCTGCGTTCAAGGCAAAGAAGAAAGGAATTACCATATTTTCTACAGGCTGTGTGCTGGAGCCTCTGAAGATATAAGAGAGAAACTTTATTTAAATTCGCCAGATAATTTTAGAGTGAGTGGATTGTTCTTCCTCCCCACTTTCCTCCATCTTGCAGGATGCTTAAAGTGAAGTTGTTGTTTCATCAGACATGAAACCAGGGTTAGCCAACGTGGTGCCATCCAGGTGATGCTGAACTACAATTCCCATCATCCCTGGCAATTGTCCCTGCTGGCTTGGGTTGATGGGAGTTGGGAATCCAACAACAACAACTGGAAGCTGCCAAGTTGGCTACCCCTGTACTAAACCTTGATTTTTGTGCCGAAAGTGGTTGAATCTTCAACTTGTCATTATTGCTGCATTCTCCTATAATGTATTTTTTATCAGTTAGATCTTTTCATGCATATAAGCATTTTATTTGTGTTAGTGTCCTGTTACGGAAGGCGTGGGATGGTTTGCAGGATGACACATAATATGAAATCAGATCAAAATGATAGGAAGGAATTCAGCGTCGTGGTAAAACAAAACGTTCCATCACCACAAATACTGCCCACTATGATTTGCTTTAATTATTTTTTTAAAAAATTGCTATTTGCTCTAGTTCAATTCGCTGTAGCGATGTATTATGAATAGTCCATGGGTGTTGTTTTTCTCTGATTGAATTTCGTTTTGAGGGTCTATTTGTTCCACTGTCCTGGTTTTAAAGTATATTGGGTTCGACCCAGAGGTCTCATGAACAGCTCATGCAATATTTCCACTGGAGGAATGGAAGAGCTGATTTATGCTGGTTTCCCCATCCCACCCACCCCCAAAAATCTGCACTGAAAGGTTGGCCTATTCTTCAGAACAGTATGGAAAGTGGTGCTGAGGGGCTGCAGGCATAGGGGGAATTTAGCCCAAATCTCCCCTCCCTTTCCACTGGTGGGAACTTTCACTGGATATCAGTCTGTTCCACATAGGACCCCTTCTATTCATGGAAGAGCAAGTCTTGATCTAACCCAGAAATAATACCTGCATTTTCAAATAATTAAATGTGTAATAGGATGTAAATGAGAGGGACATGGGTGGCGCTGTGGGTTAAACCACAGAGCCTAGGACTTGTTGATCAGAAGGTCGGCAGTTTGAATCCCCGCAACGGGGTGAGCTCCCGTTGCTCGGTCCCAGCTCCTGGCCACCTAGCAGTTCGAAAGCACATCAAAGTGCAAGTAGATAAATAGGTGCCACTCCAGCAGGAAGGTAAACGGCGTTTCCGTGTGCTGCTCTGGTTCGCCAGAAGTGGCTTAGGCATGCTGGCCACATGACCCGGAAGCTGTACGCTGGCTCCCTCGGCCAATAAAGCGAGATGAGCGCCGCAACCCCAGAGTTGGTCACGACTGGACCTAATGGTCAGGGGGTCCCTTTACTTTTACCTTTACCTTATGGTGTAAATGAGTCCATAAAGTAGGCCTCGCGGCAAATTAACAATTCTGTAACATGATCTTACAATTACATCCTGTAACGTGATGATGATACACCATATTTTTCTGCTTCCTTCTATAGTTTTTGTTGTTAATTGTATTTTTTGTTTTCCTTTGCTTCACAACAGTATTTGAATCGTGGTTGCACTCAGTACTTTGCCACCAAAGAAACAGATAAGCAAATTTTACAGAACCGCAAAAGTCCTCAGGTATGAGAGCTACTCCGTATGTTTTACATTCATGTTTAAAAGCTCAGACTTTGCAAAGCAGCAGCAGCATTTGCTGCCGCCATCGCTTGCTGCTATTTCACATCTGGTTCACATTGTATGACTTCTTTTTGCTTTGTATGCAAGCAGTTTGGCAACACTGATCCTTGTTTGAGAACAGGGACTGAATGTCACCACCACTACTACTTCAGACAAATGATTGGCACTGTCAAAAATGACAGCAGCCATCTGTTAGTGCATGCAGATCCTAATGTGCAGCTGGAAAACCTATCCACTGCTCTATGTAAGGGCATTTCAACTGGGACCCATTGTCTCAGCTGTGGCTTCCCTTCATGAACTGAACTTTTATTTATGTACATATGGATTAATCTTGGGAGGTTCTGTTCTTGCCTATGTGCCCAAGTTGTAGCCACTGAAATTTCACTGGCACACATTCTTTAGGAAAGTGGCCTATAATTGAATACCCAATTGGATTCTCCACCCCACCCCAATTTGACTATTTATAGAAATGAAACAGCACAGCAGGTATTTTTTGCTTGCTGTGTAGTTTAACATTTCCCGACATTGTTGAGTTTAAATACCTGCAGAAGCCCAAACGTACAGAGTGTATATTGTAATGCTGGTCTCAGTAAAATAAACAAGCAGAAAAGCAAAATTCAATAAAGGTATGCTATTGGGCTAGGTTGCTGATCCTGATTTCCCTACCTCCCCACTCCCTAGTCATCGCCAATATATAGCCTCCAGGTGGGGGGTACCTGTTTACAGAAATGCTGCACTCCCCATGTGAGTGCCCACAACAATTGCAGCTGTGGTCCATTATTGGTTGCTCTTACAAGGGGGCTGCCATGAAGTCTTAGCTAGTGAGGCAAGAGGGGGGGAAAATCCCTTTCTCAGTGCAAATCTTCTTGCCACATCAGTGCTTTATCGCTAATATGGCAGCATAGCATCAGGCTTATAATGAAGTGCTAGTACCACAAGCCTAAGATGGGCTTAGGTAAGTAGCTACTCATGGTTTCTCTCTGTAACTTGCAATGCTCTTTGGGCATGTAGGAATGGTTTATATTCGTACCCCAGAAAGCACATTGGAGAACAGTTAGCTTATGTACTGGCACCTTTAGGATTATTCATTAATTTATCTGTTTGTGGTAGCTTGGAGCTGTTGCAATGTCCAATAAAGTAATTTGTCCAACTCCTAGTATTGCTATGTAGTGCAGAGACATTAATTTTTATTACTATTATAAGACACGTGTAAGTAATAATTTAAAAAAATAAATAAAAATAACAGTATTCTCTCTAAAGAATCAGTCATATAAAGAATGCACAACCAACTTCATTTAGCCATGAGTGGGCATTGCTTTATAACTATGTATTTATTCACATGATTGCTTGGGCCAGTGGTACTTGAGGGTCTTAAATAAACTTTTAGCCACGGACTGCATAAGACAGTGATGGCCAAACTTGGCTCTCCAGCTGTTTTGGGACTACAGCTCCCATCATCCCTAGCTAACAGGACCAGGGATGATGGGAATTGTAGTCCCAAAAACAGCTGGAGGGCCAAGTTTGGCCATCATTGGCGTAAGACATGCTCTCACAGCTGTGGTGCGGGTGGAGGGTGGTCAAGTGAAAAAAGGGGATAGGGTTTCTGCTGTGTCACAAACTTCACCTGTTGAAATTCCCTCTTCAGTTCAACTGTTAAAGGTGCAGGGAGCCCTGACTTTTCTCTTTTCTTCCACCCATCCATCTTATGTGGATACCATGTGAAAAAACTAACTTCCTCTCAGTTCAGCGGGTGATATGTGTCTTTTACACAGCTACTTGACCCCTCTACTGATCAAAAGCTTTGGTTGTTGTGGGCTAAAAGCCATGTGAATGAGCCTGGTGTCAAAAACTTGAAGGGATTGTTAATGTCAAATGAAGAGAAGATCCATCTTGTAAATACAGGGATCCCTTTTTAAAAAATATGTGATCTTGAAGGATGACCTATTTTCAGAGGTATATTAGAATGCAAATTCTGTCTTCGGTTATAAACAAATATATAGTCTGTGATCTCGGTATGGATCTTGGAATTGATTCCTAAGAATGTCACCTGCCCTTTCTAACTATAAGTTCTGCTCTTTCATCAAGCTATTCCATTGTATAAGTCATCTTTGTTGTTTCATCTTTAAACCTCCTTGAACATGTTTTAATAATAGTAAGCGGAGTAATCAATTAATGCTTACATTATTTTTATCCTTTTCCTATCAGGAAGATGAGGTGATCACTTTGTATAATTTGAAATTTTAATTTCATTAAATTGCTATGTGATGTGAATTTTTCAGATGCATGTTAGCATTTTTATTCTTAGATGATTAGATCAATGTTTCCCTTGTTTGGGATTAAAGTGGGTACAATGCAAGTCAAATTGCATCTTCTCTTTGGGTTTACAGTGAACTTTTAAGATTTAAGGATTATTTTTCTGCATGCTTCCCCACTCCCTTGCATGTAGTAGCTTGCTTTTTAGTCAAAATGTTTAGATTTTAGAGGTGGTGGTGGTGTGTGGTGTTTGAATTCAAAACAGCTGAATAACCATAACTCTGTGTGTAACCTTCCCTCCCCACAAAGAACCCATTGCCTGGTGAATTCTTATGCATTATAAAAGTTCATAAGAACCGGGCTATGGACTTCTGTACACAGTTCTATTTGCCAGACCAGTGTTTGTTTTTCTGCTGAATTTTATGATCCCACACTTCATTCATAATCTACGTATATTGCTGTCGCCTGACTTTTCTTGTGCCAAAACTGAGGAATGTTAACATTGGGCCTGAACCAAATGTTCGCAAGGAGACATTTTTGTTCCATTTTATGGGGTCCAAAATGGGGATGGGCCTGTAGCTCAGTGTTAAAATGCATTTAAAGATCAACCCTTGACATTTCCACGTAGGCCTGAAAATGATTCCTTTCCAAAACACTGGAGTGAGCTCCTAGTCAGCTTTGACAGTTCTGAGCTAGATCAACCAATGATCTGAATTAGTGCGAGGCAACTTCCTTTGCCCTTGGCTCCTCCTTATGCAGCTACTTGATTACTGCCTAAATGTTTGGCTGCTTTCTCAGGCTGCTTTGACCTGATTATGTGATAGCAAACAGTTGAGGATCATGTAGCATCCGTGACAGTGTCACGCTATCCTGTCAGAATGCTATGAAGCCAATTCAGAGTGGGGACAATAATTCCTGCCCTCACTCTTAAGGGCTGTTTTCTTGAAGAATTTCTAAACGAGAAGATACTTCTCAAATAAAATCAAAGCATTCATACACACACATTTTGTCTTGTCTCTGGTTAACACTACTTCCATACATTCTTCTGGTAGATCTTTGTGAAGTTTCAAATCACTCTGTCCCATATACTCCATTCTCGACATTCAACACCATCCTCCACATTGATCTATAATGCTAGACAAACCTTGCTAGAACACAAATCTTGATTTTTATGTGTGGTATTTCTGAGCTCTATCCATCAAATACACTTTTGCTTGCTTTGGCTGGATGTTCACCATTGGAAATATGAGTTCCAAGCATTTTGAGACTGCTTTTGTTTTGCTTTTATAGTACTTGAAATCAGGCTCCCTGAAAGATCCTTTGCTCGATGATCACGGAGACTTCAACAGAATGTGCACTGCGATGAAGAAGATTGGCTTAGACGATGAAGAGAAGCTGGATCTCTTCCGGGTGGTGGCTGGCGTTCTACACCTTGGGAATATTGATTTTGAAGAAGCTGGCAGCACTTCTGGTTAGATCAGTAACTTTTGTTTCATTTTGCATCGAGCAGTGTTGCTGCTTTGGTGAAAAGTTGGTGCGCTTCAGCAAAGGAACACAGAGGATTCCCTATTTGTGTGTGGTGATTTTTTGTTGTTAAGGGATATGCCTATTATTATGTGTGTGATTCTGCCTTGTTCATTCATGCTTTGTGGAATAGTTTGTGCTGTGTGTTACAAGTAGCTGTATAAAGAAAAGGACTTTGTAGGCAGTTGCCGGTTCCTTACTTTAATGAATTTTTTTTGAACCCACTTCTTAGATGTTTTCCCCCTTTTGCTTTTAAAAATAGGTGGTTGCACTCTGAAGAATAAATCTAGCCAGTCTCTGGAATGCTGTGCAGAGCTCCTCGGTTTGGACCAGGATGATTTGCGTGTAAGCCTCACCACCAGAGTCATGCTGACAACAGCAGGGGGCACCAAAGGAACGGTTATAAAGTAAGTGGTTCAGAAAAGCAGCGTGTTTCTCTTTGTTTTTCTCCCCCCCCACCCCAAACAGCTGCCCTACATGGTAGTTGTCTTTTTTAAAAAAACGGAGATTGTAAAAATTGCCTATTAAATCTTTGCTTTGAGCTATTCGGAAATGTCTTACTTGCAACTGTTTATGGCGAAATAGAAATTTAGAGTTGCGTTCCTTTCCTTTTTACTTTTTGCTTTGTTCTGCAAGATGAATAGCACTTTCCGAAGAGCAATAAAACATCTGTTGCTGTGCCAAATTTATTTCTGTCTCCCTTTCATCCCAGTGTGCAAGAGAGAATATATCTGTGCAATAACGGTAAGGGGGAAAAAATTGCCTGGCAGTTTTGTTAATGATTAACCTGTCAAACGCTAGCAGGGAAAGTGAAAATGCCTTGCAGTGTGTCTCGGCACAGCTTGAATCCATATTCGCATAACAATAATTGCTAAAAACCCGGGAATAAGCATGATGTTTATACTAAGCGTGCAGCCTGCACGGCTCCTTGGAACATTTTAAAGATGGAAGTGGAAAACTCCAATGTTCGCTCAGTTGTTTTAAGCACTGCAACTTACTCTTTTGTGTGTGTGGTTTGCAGCACTGTGCAGCAGAACTGCCGCTTTATAGGCATGAGTTATGCAAATAGCCTGCTATGTAAACGGTTTGTCTCCTGTCAACATTGCTTGAATTGTGGATGGGTTCTGTTCAGTCACTTCGGCTATTAACAGCTCACGCTCGCAATGATTCATCCTACCAGTGATTTACGCTATCTGAGAACCTTGCCTACTTCTGCAAGATGATGTCGTTTGGTTTGAGGTGGGCTTTCAGTGCACCACCCCAAATTTCCATTTTAATTACATGACATTGTGTCAAGAGCCCAAAGTTCATACCTTTTCATGCCATTTGCTTAGGTTCGCTTTCTCTGATGAGGCTGGCTTTTCTTCAAAAAGAGAAGGTGCCAATCCAGTGGGAAGAACTCTTAATGAACAGAATGAGAATGCGTTGCCACTTCGAGATCCCTTCTGACTTAATGCAGCTGGTGGGAGGGCAGCAGTGGGGAAGGAGGTCATTCTGTACAAGGAGAAGGCAGTGCAACCACTGCTGCGCTCATGGTGAAAAGACACTTCCACTTGTTCAAGGCAGTCCTGCTGAGTTGCCCCAATTTTCCTCAACTGTTGTAGCTTTCCATGCCCCATCACACACTTACCTTTCAGAAGTAGGGGACTTGAAAGCCCAATTGGTGCACTACCCTCCCATGTTTTCTTGAGTGGAGCCAGTAAACCTACTTGCCATCCAGGAGGGCCTTTAAAACACTGATATATCATGGGTTTCCATCTTCATTCACTTCAACAACTTTCAGTGGGCATTGTTGCTACCCCCCCCCACTCTAATAAATCAAGGTGTACTTTCCCAGGGTACAAAAGGTGAGATGAACTTCATCTTTAACCAAAAGTTTCCTTTCCGTGCTACAGGATGGCAGAACCGAACAAGCTGTCAGTATTTTGTGGGAGGGATTCAAGCAGGAAGTTTTGTTGTTGTTTAGTCGTTTAGTCGTGTCCGACTCTTCGTGACCCCATGGACCAGAGCACGCCAGGCACTCCTGTCTTCCACTGCCTACCACAGTTTGGTCAGACTCATGTTTGTAGCTTCGAGAACACTGTCCAACCATCTCGTCCTCTGTCGTCCCCTTCTCCTTTCCCAACATCAGGGTCTTCATCAACAGCAGGAAGTTTAGGTTTGCGCAATTCAAGGGGTCCCCCTAATTCAGAAACAGAACTTTTGCAGTTAGGAAAGTGACGGGAAAACATGAGATGACTGACTGGCCAATGAGAACATGTATAAACACCCCACAAGCAAATCGGAATGAATGCCGATTGTATAACAAATAAATCGGAACAAATGTTCAATAAAGAACAGATATCATCTAACTTCCACGTAAGCTTTGTGGAAGCAAATCAGGATGAATGCTCAATAACGAGGGCATCTGGAGGAGCCCCAGGTCTAGATTAAATTCTGTGTCAAATATTGAACAGGTTTCTAAACCAAAGCAAGTGCCCATTTTTAGATTATAAACATGAGCAAGAACTTGTTGACATGACTAACTATTCAGCGGTGGAGCAAACTTCCTTGGAAAATGATAGACCATCCTTTTTCAGAAGGTTTTCAGCAGAGGCTGAAAGCTACTGATTAAAGAAGCTGGATTTCCTACATCTTTAGCAGGCTTGGCTAGGTGACCTTGGAGGTCTTGTCCGACTCTTTGGGCAGTATTACTCATAGTAGGCCCACTCAAATTAATGGGCCTGACTTAGCCACGTGTGTTAATTTAAATGAGCCTGCTCTGAGTAAAACACAGTAGAATACTACCCGGTGATTCTATGAAAATGTAGGAAATGCAGCCACTTTTGGAATGACTAAAGGAAGAAAAAAAAAAAGAAAAGAAAAAAAAAGATGATTGCTGCACTTTCCCCATTGAAAGTACAGAGAATACTTAAGTATTAAGATTTAGGAAGAATGAGCTGCTTAATAGGTAGTGGGGATGAGCTTGATGAGATAAACAGAGATGACTTGGCCATGGTACTCTATGGCTCTGGCGACTTCCAGATTGGATTATTTTAATGCGCTGTACATAGGCTGCCCTTGAAGGCGACTTGGAAACTTCAACTGGTTCAAAATGCAGTGGCCAGATTATTGACTTTGGAGGGGGGGATGTCCCTAGACAACACTCAAACACCCCTTGCTGGTTAATTTCTGGGACCAATTCAAGGTGTTTGTGCTAGTGTTTGCCCTTCTTTACAAACCCTCTTTGGTGTTAAGATCAGCAGAGGGACCCTCTTAGTAGTTCTGCTGCTCCCAGATGTTTGGGGTGGTGATGGCCTAGGAGAGGACATTCCCCATGGCAGGCCCTTAGTCCCCTCTCCTCCCACAGAGGTACACCTGGCATCTTCCCTATACAGCTTTTGGCGAAGACACATTTATTTACCCTGGCCTTTCAAACTTGAGGTGTGTGTTTTCAGATACCCACCCTCTCCCTATGACTGTAATTTATTTTAACCATTTTTAATTTCTGATTTTTTAATTGTTGTTGTAACCTTCCTGGGATCTGTTGGTTAAGGGCAAGCAATCAATTTATTAATAATAGTAACAGTTAATAAATGAATAGTTTTTAATGTAACTATTACGCAGTAATGGGGGCACAGGTTTGAATTTTAGATGGGTCCTGCCTTATTCTTGGTCCCCTGGTGCTTGCGCCAGTATTCCCATGACAAACCATAAACCTGTAACAGGGCAATTTGACACCCGTGTGACTTCTGGGAGCATGGAATTGGATCTTTTCTTATAGCCACAGCAGTTTGGCTGTCTTAATATTTCAAGATTCCAAAGTGTTGGGTAGAGCTATGAAGGAGGGGGGAAATGGAAGAACTGGGGGAAATCCCAGTCCCCCCCCATTTTTCTGCTTTTTGTCCTGTTGTGTTTCCAAAACAATGGGGGGATCCAGAACAATACGGGGGGAAATGGGTCCTGCCCCACATTTTCCATTTCCTCCCAGGCCTTCACATCTCTAGGGCTGGGGTGCCCAGCCCCCAATACTGTAGAAATAATATTGAGGGATAAGTTTGCATTCTGTTTTGAAGAGGTTCTGCAGCATCATATTTTACAGTATGGATATAGTTATTTCTAAACTACAGGTGTTAATGTATACTACTTTCTTCTTCCTTCAATTTTCCTTTAATTTTGAAATGTACTATGGAAAGTTGCTGGTGGTTTTTTTTTGGGGGGGGGGCTAAAATTATGGTGTGCCTAGTGCCTTATATAAAAGATTGGCAGTTGACATGAACGACGGGGATTACAGCGCTGAGCTCTTAAACGTATCAGAAGGGGAATGTAAAGGAACCTTCCCTCTATTTATAAGATAGGATTGCTGTCAGTACCTATTACGCTAAGATAAATCAAGAGATAGTACATTAAGGCTAATTACACTCTAATGTAATGTAGCTGCAGCCATTCCTAATGAACAGATGAACAGAGCCTTCATTTCCTAGATACTTCGTTTGCAATAGCGGGGAATTCCAATGCACAGCAGCTTGCCTTTACATAGGGTTTTTACACAGAGGAGAGGCGTTACTGCGATAGAGGAAAGCCTGCCTTTTATACCCCTAAGAATGGTGTAATGCTAGACAGCTGCCCTCCAGGCTCTCTACAATTCCTCTCTGTGTTGACCTAGAGAAGAGCGCAGTGTAGAGAGGACTGTAACTCCTAATCCTTTTCTCTGACAGTGTCATCATCTCGGTGCAAATGGGATTGTGTTTTTTTCAGGCTGGGCTTAAAATTGCCCCCAAAACAGTTCAAATTCCCTGTGCGGCTTTCAGTTGTTTTTCTCTTTTCTTTTTGCAAATAAGTGTTCGTTGCTGCCAAGTAAGGGGGAAGAGGGCGAAGAAGTGAAATGTCTTAAAGTTTCTATCCCCCCCCCATCACAACAGAAAAGCTGTCTTGGAAAACCTATTTTCAATGTTAGCTTTCTTTGTGTCTACTTCTGTTTTCAGTGCATGCCTGTATGCTTGTGAATAAAACGAATCAAACTTTCCACAAAAGGCACGCCCTGCTCCTCGTGGTTTGTTAGAGGGTGTGCATTTTTGTGGCTGGTTACTGCACTGAGAAGGCACTCTTCACAGGAGGTTGGGCTATAGATGATCCTCCTTTCTCTCCAATATTTTGAGTTTTAGGTAGCTGCAGTAGTCCCTGATTGGCTATAATTTCATGCCACCCCCCATCATGTGACATCACGTAGCCCACAAAACTAATTCTGAGTGAGGGCAATTCTTCTGAAGAGGCATTGTCCAAATAAGTCTTGCTTGCCCTCAGGGGTGGTGTCACATTGCCAAACATAAATTGCTGTGTGATGAGATCATTGTTACCAGGAAGAAGGTCAATTTTAAAATACCCTTTTTTGTGTGTGCTGAGAATAGCACATTTGGCTCAGCCCTCAAAGAAATATACCTGGAATATCCTTATCTGAGGCACTTCCTTCTCTTCTTTCCAGTTTCTCCTCAGGATCCAGTGTTTTGAATCCGGCCTTTCCTCCTTCATCTTCCATGCTCTCCCACTTTCAACTGAGTCTGCTTCCTTCCAATTGTGGATTTTAAGCATTTTAAATAGCAATCTTTCATCTTGTGTGCTTTGTTACATAAAACAGGGTGTAAACAGAAAAAAGGGGGGAGGCAGAGGGCACTGAAGTGGTTAAATGAGCAGTGCCAAAGAGCTGCATTACCTATTACCACAGAGTGGAACTAGAGGATATGCAAGGGATTAGTACATCAATTTCTACTCTTCCTGGTATTACATAATGAAGGAAGATGTTATGCGCTCAGTATTTGGATACAGATTTCACGCAGTTCCAGGGAGCCTAGAGAGAGGATGTATGACGTCTTTTAAAGGAGTTCACCACAGAGCAGCATTCCATATAATCGCCTTGCTAACACATGGGACTGTTTTTGGGCTTGCTGACAGTCTGGGCTCACATGAACCGATGCATCCATGTAGGTAGCGCGGCTGTGGCTGCCCCAGTTTCCATGAGGGTGACAGCATTTTTCATTCCTCTGCTATAATGAAAATTGACGTTGCTGTGAATACATCACCCATGTGGGGGAGACACCATTCATGCAAATTGGTGTCTCCACATTGGAGCTGTAGACACAGCAGCTCCAATTTTGCAAGCTCAGCTCGGCCATAAGACCAGCATATCTCCAAGGCATATGAACCACTCCACGCATTCCGTTTTGGTTTTCAGGTACAGGCACCCTACAGCTATGCTCAAGTGGTGAAACTCCTGTCTGTTGCCTTAATGTGTGCATGTTGGAACAGCAAACTTAAGATTTTACTGGTATTGGGCCCTCCACCAAGGTTGATGGGTGTTAGGTTCCCGGCCTTTTTACTGGTGGCCCCCGTGCTTCTGGAATTCCTTCCCCTAAGAACTCCACTTGTCCCCTTTTCTTGTAGCCTTTAAGAGGACAAAAAAGGCTTTAAAAAAGAAAAGAAAATTCCACCATATTGCTAGATCTTTATGGTGTTATCTGAGGTTTTGAAGATTGTATCTTGTTTCATTCTGTCATTTTGCATTTGTTTTGGGAAGTCGTGTTGTGAGGGCTTGCCACCAAAAATGGGGAGAACGGAAATGAACAAATAACCTCTTGTTACCATGCAGGGTTCCACTGAAAGTAGAACAGGCGAACAATGCACGTGATGCTCTGGCAAAAACTGTCTACAGTCACCTCTTTGACCACGTGGTAAACAGGGTAAACCAATGTTTCCCTTTTGAGACGTCCTGTTTTTTCATTGGAGTTCTTGATATCGCAGGTTTTGGTAAGTCTTTTGCATAGGGAACTCTAAATTGCTGTTTAGCTTTAGTATGGTTGCTGTATTGCATCATCTGCTTTCAGACCATGCTCTGGGATCTAGTTAGTGATCTGTATTTCTTCCATTGGAGTGATCACTTAGTGTTGTGTGTAAGTCTGTTGACATTCAAAGCAGAGTGAGCATTACATAGGATTGGGGGAAGCTAAAAGTCCAAATGACTAAAGCCTGATCCCAGGAAACCTTCCCAAAGCAGTGATCTAGATGGTGGCATTTATGTTGTGGTGACACTTCCTTTTTATAAAGTACTATGTAGTCGGGTGGTATTATTCAATAAACAAGTAGTGTTATCAACCTATAGCAGAAGGAGCTGTGGGAGCCGGAGACTGGGAGATCAGCAAGTAAGCTGGGTAGAGATTTGATACCATGAGTTCCCGTCTCAAAGCTCCTTCTTTAAACCACTGTGCTACCCTGGCTATGTTACCTGTCTTCAGCTTAATGGAAGATGTGGAGTAATCTAAAGAAATATGACAACAAATTGTTCTCATTAAGCCTTGGATGCAACTGGAATTCCCGTGGTGGGAAGAGGAATTGAGTCCACGACTCTGTATGCAATTACCGTCAGAAAGTCAGAGCTGCTACCTGAGCACTTCCTTTGTATTTTAAAAGAGAACAGTAGGGGATAGTCTAACTTCACTCTTCTGAATTGCAACTGTGTTCCTGCATGGAAGACCTAATGTTGGAACTTTGTGCCTTAAACCAACATAAGATTATAATAAGTGTATTTCCTAGCTGACGCCCCCACCCATTTTAAAGCATATTAATTCCTTTATTTTACAGAATATTTTGAACACAACAGCTTTGAACAGTTTTGCATTAACTACTGTAATGAGAAGCTGCAGCAGTTCTTTAATGAAAGGATTCTCAAAGAGGTAATTGTATACAACCATAACAAATTTATTATGGCATGGACCACAGTCTGCTTCATCAGATGCATGAAGTGTAATCCTCATTTGGCAGGTGGTGGGAATGGGATATACAACAATGACTGCAGAGTGAAATTCAGGGGAATCCAGTGATAAGTATCTGAAAGCAATTTACAGTGACCAGTTAACAAGGCTGTTCAGTGAACAAACTCATTAGTCTTTAAGGTGCCACAAGACTCTTGTTTTTGCCACAACTGTTTAATGCAGCTACCATTTTAGAATGTGATACATGTTGTTTATAGTCATTTCACTGAGGTTTTTCTGTTACCAGTGTCTGATCGGCAGATACAATACATCTGCAGAAATTTGCCTGTAGCAATTCTAGGAGTCAACTCCTTGAGTCTCATGGGCTTTTGGTCATCCTGAGAAAAGTTACACCAATATTGCATTACGTAGATACCCCATATATGTAATTTTTTAAAATAAAAAAAAAGTTATTTGAAATCCCTTCTACGAAGATGTACAGAAAAGTTGTGTCTGAATCAGCCTTATTTCCCCCATTAACATTTAAGAGCATGCATATAACAGATGTGCTTGAATGTCCTACTGGATTTGAAAACCATGAAGAAAAACTTCCAAATGACAACATTATTTCTCAGCTTCCACTTCAGTGCACATGGTGATGCTAGTTAGACAGCAATGCTGGAATCGTTTGAACAAGGTCAGCCTTCATAGCACCTCTAGCAATTTGACAAAGGCCTGATGTTCGAGATACTGAACAATCATATTCCCAGAAACAAATAAAGTAAATGACATAGGAGGCGGTTCAGGGCACCAGAAAAACATAGGACTGCTGTTTTTTTGGAAGTTTGAGCAAAAGTGCCGAGCTGTTTCAGAACTGTTTCATGCCACAAAGTTCAGGTTGCTTAAGACTGTGAAGTGGCTCATCACTGAGAACATTACTCGTTCTTCTATCACAGGATCAGCTTGACTTGAAATAAAACCAAGCCAGAATAAGGGATGGTGCTGGCACTCGTGTGTGACATTGCTAGCATGTACCTTCGGCCCTCACGTAAAGGATATGAGAAGTTGGACAGATGAGCAGTATTTTACTCATACGATAATTTCATTATTTCTATTATAGGAACAAGAACTTTACCAGAAAGAAGGTTTAGGTGTCAATGAAGTCCACTATGTAGATAACCAAGACTGTATAGGTATGCATGTTGAATTCTGAGATGCCGTTTGTGTAAAGAAAGAAAAAGTTTTATTTGCTGTGGTTTTCATTGAAACTGAATGGTAGTATATCTATTTTGTTTTCCTTAACCTTTAACATTCTTGGAAGCAGCAGGAGGGTGAAATGGGCCATTTAAAATGATTTTTGAATGAAAACGTGCCGTATTTTACACCTCCTCCTTTCATATTTGATAAGAGATCCATATTTTGATATTTTAGTGACGGGACATAATGTAAAACTGTGGTTTGCTTAAACATAGTTTATTTTAAGGTCTGGTTCTGAGCCTCACTATAAACCTGGATAAACCAAAATATGAAATTTGGAGGTACTTTGCAAAAACTAATTGTTGTAAAACGTCTGAATTCACATATTGTTGACAAACCACAGGTTTGTTGCTTAGGTTGTTGACATTTACTGCTAAGCCACTTAATATATCAGCTAATAGAATAGCTGCAGATTCTGCAGATTACTCAAGAGCAGATGTATTTAGGAAAGGTAAAAGCTTTGTATTGCTTGGTAACACTCTTGTCACTACTCTGTATATACTGTATTAACTAGCCTATTGGCTTCTGTCTTGCAAACAGATTTGATTGAAGGGAAATTAATAGGTGTTCTTGACATTTTGGATGAAGAAAATCGGCTTCCCCAGCCAAGTGATCAGCACTTTACATCAATGGTACATCAGAAGCACAAAGATCACTTCAGACTCTCGGTAGGCTTATTTTTTTTATATTGGCATCAGTTTGTTTACCCCAAGTTATAAATTGTCATAAATAAACCATTGTACATTACATCCAAGATTCCCCCATTATCCCTTTTCTGTCAGATGTTCCAGAGTACTTTCCTACTGACAATACTGGTCCTAAGGAGGCTCATTTGCTTGGAGAGAGTGTAGCTACAATTACATGTATATGTATTTTGGTTTCTAATTGCAATGTGTGAATTCAGGACACAAGGACAGAGAGATTGACTGCAGAGAACAATGAAATTTTTGCTTTGCAATGTTTGGTTAACTCACCAACCCTCAAAAATCACCTTCTCTCCCGCACGACAGCTTGGTTTAGCAAAAAGTTTCCATCTCCACAAATGGGACATTATCTAAAATATTTCTAAAATAACCAAAATATTTAGTTAAGGGTGCCATTTTATATAATGGATGAGCTACACAGATGAATGCCCGATGCACCCATGGCAGCAATCATGTCACCTTAAATTCCAAATCAACCCATTTGTTATGAAACCCAGTGTGTTGACCCCATCACAGGGAAGCGTCCTTGGCAATAGTCATGGCAGGTTTTATCTCCATATGTCTTTACAGCAAAACGAAAGGGAATATTATAAACGTACACTCCTGATTTATTTACCATGACCAAGCATAAAGAAGCATTTGGTCTCTGAGGTTCTGGGAGAAAGTCAGTACAATTGCACACTGTCTCCAACCTTCATTTGAGTCACAGAATTTTAAAAGGAGGTGGATAAGAATCTGCAGTGCATCACATTTAATTTCTTAGCCACTTTCCACAAGAACTCTCCAAGTGACATATACAGATAAGATTCCGATACACAATACTCCACCAAGCTACAAATGAAACCACTAATGTGATCATATTGCAAAAACGAATATGTCTGTCTTCCTGATAAAACCTTGACCACCATCCCTGCTGGCTGTGATTGCAATCTAGTTGCCTTGGTCACAAACTCAATATAAAATGTGGCTTCCTTACGGTTAAATGGAGTAGGCTGAAGAAAGCATGTGGCACCAATTTTGACATGCCGGCTGTGGTTCCTGGTTTGTTTCTAGGTTCAGTTTAATGAGTTGTCTTTGACCTTTAAAGACCTAAAGTGCCCAGGTCCAACATACATGAGGACTGTCTTCTCTCATATACCTGTTCAATAAGATCTGCTTCATAGGCAGGGGTTTTTTTGGGGGGGGTATGTTGGGCCCGGGGGGACGCGGGTGGCACTGTGGGTAAAGCCTCAGCGCCTAGGGCTTGCCGATTGAAAGGTCGGCGGTTCGAATCCCTGCGGCGGGGTGCGCTCCCGTCGTTCGGTCCCAGCACCTGCCAACCTAGCAGTTCGAAAGCACCCCCAGGGGGCAATTAGATAAATAGGGACCGCTTACAAGCGGGAAGGTAAATGGCGTTTCCGTGTGCGGCTCTGGCTTGCCAGAGCAGCAATGTCACGCTGGCCACGTGACCTGGAAGTGTCTCCGGACAGCGCTGGCCCCCGGCCTCTTGAGTGAGATGGGCGCACAACCCTAGAGTCTGGCAAGACTGGCCCGTATGGGCAGGGGTACCTTTACCTTTTTTTATGTTGGGCCCAAGGTTCTGGAACTTTGTCCCTGGGAAAGTGTGGTCTGCCTTTGCATTGCTAGTTTTCAGTTGCATGTTGAGTGTTCTCTTTCAGAGGGCATTCAAGACCCCCATAGCTGCGATATTGCTGTTGGGCATTTTAGTTGTTGCTGCTGGGTTTTTTTTTTAATAGGTGTCAAAGCTATTCTGTATGTTTTCTATGCTTTGAACTGCTTTGACACAAAAGGTGTGGCATTAATATTTTAATTAATAAATACATAACCCAACCAGGAACCAGTGCAGTCCATGTGGTTGGAGTCTTAGCCGCCTTCACTTTCTTGCCCTTTTTAGCTGAACACCATGAGGGCAGTGAAGAGCTGCCATTTAGCAGCACATTAATTTGTGGCATGCCAAAATGGCTGCCTAGAACTGGCATGTAAAAATGCATGGGGCTTACAAGGGCGAGTAGTTTTCTAATCTTTTTTCTTTGCAGTTTTATGTACGTAGTTGGTCATTTGTTTTGTGCTTTATGATTTTATGGTTCTATGACACTTATAAATAAATAACATAAATAAAATATTGGTTTTAAATTTCAGATACCCAGGAAATCTAAACTGGCTGTTCATAGAAATATCCGAGATGATGAGGGCTTTATAATCAGACATTTTGCAGGAGCAGTATGTTACGAGACAGTAAGTGAACATGATTTACTGAATTTCATCTTTCTGTATAGTTTTAAAAATAAATTATTTATATGTGTTGTGTAGTGGATCCTTGTGAGTGTGGCTGAGCAGATAAAGTATATTCAGCTACATGGTGAGAATCTACAAAGGCTATGGAAGAACTCAACAACATGCTTAGGACCCCACCAGATAATTTGAATATTGAAGAATTTTCATTGGGAAGAGGTGTTAATCTAAGCTAGCAACACTGTTTGTGAGAGCAACTAAAAGTTTCTGAATGGTGTAACCTAATGAAGTAAAACAAATTTTGCTTCTGCTTTTTACAATCATTGAAGTTTGGTCTGCAGTGTCATATTCCTGTGTGCAATTTCTGCCCAGGTGCCACAGTGATCAAGTGATAGCATAGACATGTGCAAACTTTCCCTCCTACCTAACATTATTTTCATTATTTTCCTCAGACCCAGTTTGTGGAGAAAAACAACGACGCTCTGCATATGTCTCTGGAGTCCCTTATATGTGAATCCAAAGATAAATTTATCCGGCAGCTCTTTGAATCCAACACAAACAACAACAAGGACCATAAACAAAAAGCAGGGAAGCTCAGTTTCATCAGTGTGGGAAACAAATTTAAGGTATGGGCATGACAAACCTTCTCCTTTCCCGGGACTCCTTTCCATTTTCTATGAACACAACGGGACTGTAAAGTTAGGCAGACAGCATGAGTGGTTTCAGTTTCACGTATTCCTCTTGTCGGATCATCCTTGTTTACTCAGAAACAATCCCTTCTGGTTTCAGCAGGATTTCCATTTTCTAGGATGTATGCTCAAAATTGCAACCTCAAACAGTTTTGTGATATGACACGTATAGCTCATATAGTCTGGCCTTTGCTGTAGTAAACTGAGGCAAATCTTCAGTGGCTTTTTGCCTTTTCCTGATATTGAAGCAACATTTCTCCATGCCCTGAGGATACCGGGGTATTCCTTCTGTCCTCCCTCCCTGTTTTTCGTAGTCCGTGTTTGAATTTCAGAAGGGGCCTGTGCGATCTCCAGGTAACACGCATTTCTTCCACACGTCCCTCTGCCTCACTTCTGTTCCTTGCCCTTCCTTTATGACTCACAAGCAGCATGAATGGCTTCTCTCTCTCACACACACCTGCTTTTGCAATCTGCCTCTGCAACGTTTTATGTGGGGCTTCTTGGACTCTTCAGTCACACACTCAAACTTGCACGCACTTCCACCATTGCCTCTGTCATTCCACCTTCTCTTGGGCTGTGGCTGCCGAAAGTTGCAATCGAGACTTCACCACATTGTATGTTGCACAGGGAGCGAATGAATTGCCAAAATGGGAATCTGTATTAGTTTAATACTGTATGTTTAGCGTCTGTATTAATTGCAGACCCCGAAGCAACTTCTTATCAGAGCTAAATGTGTGGTTTAAAAAGCTTTGCTTTCTGTTGTATAATGAGAATTTGCACATTTGAAGCGAGCCCCTTCAGTCAACAGAAGCTAGCTGTGGGTGTCCCATTGAGACAGTAAAGTAGATTTAAAGTGTTATCATTTCTCTGAACCCTCTAAAAATATTAATAGCATTGACAAGACAAAACAAAACCCAAAAAACCTCGGGGGTTGAGCATTCCTTTTCTCACCCCCCGCCCTTCTCCTAACAGTATTATCTGATGCTTTTCCTAATTTTTCCTTTTGTTCTTAGCTGTAAATCTGACCTCTGTGTCTTCTGCTCTTTCTGTGTTAAGCCTTCTCTGTTTTTCTGCTTCCTTTCCCTATTCATCAGTTTTTATTTTAGTTGGCTTTTACCAGCTCAGGATGGCTGGAGGGGAAGCTATAGGGGAGTTGAGAGGAAAAGCAGGCAGAGGCAAAACCAAGGGCTGCAGGTAAATGTATCACCTTCGTGGACTCATTATTTATCAAGCTGCAGTAATTTCAGCCAGAATTCTTATTTCTAGCACATCAGTTTTGCTTCATGTAACGTTAGAAAAATGCCTCCCCTCCACAGCAGGGTTTTTATTTTTGTTGCTGGTTCCCTCAACAACCCATGCATTAAAAACCACGTATTAAATCTGTGATGGGACCTGGGAAGGGCAGTAGCTCAGGGTTGGACTGTGTGCCTTGCATGCAAAGGGTCTTGGGTTCAATTCAGTTAGAGCTGGCGGGGGGGGGGAGGCTCGTTTTCTTTTTCACTTTCGTTTTTTAAATTTTAAATTAAATATCACAATCGTCCAAATAGAGGGAAAAGCAAAATATATTGAGAAAAATGGAGAGGAAGAAAATGGTTGGAGAAAATAGCTTGCATAATGAGATACTATTAAATTAACATAAAAAGAATATACAGGGGTACTTTGCCTGCGATTTGATTGTTGAATGAACAGAGCCCATAAACTTGTTTTGATCATTATATTTTAAAATGTTTCTGTCAGCTTTATCATTGTGACACATTCCCAAACTTTCCTCAGCCATTGTGGGTTGGTTGGAGGGTCTTTATTTTTCCATTGCTGGGCTGTATAGAGTTTCGCCATAGTCAAAAGAGTAGTTACTAATTAGAGATCGGGATTTATAACTTCACCGCATGCAAAGAAGGATTGTGTTTGCATTTCTAGGTAATGCAAAGCCGGTGATTTCCTGCTATATTCAAAATTGTAACTCGGAGAGGTTTTGCTTTTGCACAATCCCAGAAGATATGTATGAAATCTGCCTTAGTTCTTTTTCTCCTCCAGCAGTCCTCCTTTTCTGAAACTCTGGAGAGAGGCTGCCACGCGCTGTAGAATCAGGCATAGCCAACATGAATGATAATGGACCACAGCTCCCATCATTCTTGGTTAGAATGAATGGGAGTTGTGAATCATTATTATTATTATTAATAATCATTTCATTTCCATCCTGCTTTACATTTTTAATGGGGGGGGATCTCAAAGTACCCAAATAAAACAATCCGAAAGAAAACATTACAGAAGAAAGTCAAATATAAAGTATGCATCCAAAGCAGCATAATTAACAGGAAACTAAAATATCATCTTAAAGATTTCAAATGGAAATCTTTACTAATGGAGGTTAAATATAAAATGTACATTTAAAGCAGCAAAAATATCAAGAAAATAAAACACTTTCTTGAGTACAGAACATACCTGCAGCTGTTGCAGCCAGTTCTGTCAATGGCCGTGGGAACTCAGGCTCGACAAGCAGGGTCTGCACTAAGAGACAGCCAAGGTGGTCCAACTACATCTGGAAGAGCGCCATGTTGGCTACTCCTAATGTAGACATTACTGAGCTAAATGTACCAAGAAGGCAACTTGCTTGGTTTTCAAATAGAAAACGGGTTTACAAAGATAAGTCATTTTCCATGGGTAGAAAGTGTAGGTGTGTATTTCCGAAATCAAAATGCAAAAGGAGGATTTCAGGCATGCAGAGAAGTAGGTGAAATTTATAGCAGGCCAAGGTGTTTAAGCTTAGCTGAAGATCCCTCTGTTACTTGGGATTGCCACAAAGCCTTCCCATCCCCCCAGCCCCCTTGAATGGCCTGATAATGGGGGCTGGAATAGGGTTGGGGGAGAAGTGGGACGGGATAGGATAGCAGAGCCAGTGTCTGCCTTTGTGCTAGGCTAAACAGGTGAGGAAGATGCTCCCTGCTTCTGGCTTCTGCCAAGCCCAGCACGCTATGAAACAAAACCCCACTCTTCCTGAGGGTCTGCTAGTATGCACAGAGGACTTGGGGAGGTGGGCAGGTCTGTTCCTACTACTCACTGGGCTTTGGAGCAAGGGAAAGGTAAACACCAGTGCTCAAGCCTACATTGCTGTTATTTGCCTCTCGGTTGTAACGCCAGATAAGAAACTGACTCTGCTCCCCCAACATGTTTCTCTGTGCATGCCAGGTGAGTCATTGGATGGTTGACCCTCTTTTGCCCAACATGAAAATTGCATTTCCCTGGGCTCTGTGCAATGCCAAGGGAGGTCCATGGGGGAGGCAAAAAAAAAATTGGTGGTGGGTGTGTCTTCATTAGCAGGTGATTGGCTTTGTGAATCACCATTTGAAACAAAAACTAAACCACTAAGTCAATGCATAGTCTATATTTTAAACATTTTGTAACTTCGACCAACACACCCTAATGGCTGAAAAAAGTGTTTATTGAAACCTATCTGGTTCCTGATGAGTTATGTGCAAACATCCGCTGCATCTGGCAAAGTACAAGACTCCCCTCATCATTTGGGATACTGTATCTGATCCTACACCATCCACTTAATCCATGTAAGGTTCATCTAATAAGATGGATCAGGTTATCTATGAGCCAGGTGAATGCGTAGTGTAAGTCAAGGGGAAGCCAAAGTGGTGCCCTCCAGATTCGTTGGGCCAAAGCCCCTGCCAAGCCTGCCACTGCTAATGCTAGCTGGGGCTGATGGGATCTGGTGTCTGACAACACCTGCAGGGCACCATATTGGCTTACCTTTGTGTTCAGTGTTTAAAAGAGTAGCTCACATTTAGCAAATTGGTGGTGCTTTCCATTGCATAGAAAGTAGACATTCCTAAAGGTTCTTTGTTTGGAAGACCATTTGGGTAAGAGAAACATTTATGTACTAAGTTGTACATATGAAGTTGGGTGGAAGAATTCTGGTAGTGGTATGGTATGGCATTGCTGCTTCCCACCTTAATTCTCTTGCTGCTAAGGCGGTTTGACTATGAGTAGCAAGTGAAGGTGTTGGTACTGTGGACTGACAGATCCTATGCACTCATTCTCCTTTTCACCTCCATTTGAGCAAGTGCATGTATGCATGGGGAGCTCGTGCTAAGTGATGCATGCAAGTAATGATGTGTCCTCATGAGTGTAGCCCGGGGGGAGGCAGGGGGCAGCTGCCCCCATCAAGTAAATCAATAAAAATATTTAGCTAACTGAGGTTCTGCCCCCCCCCCACATGAAGCCTGGCCACACCCATGTGTGTCCTGTGTGCCTAATCTCCCATTCTCCATACTGATGCAGTTTCCTTTGCTTTTACAGACTCAGCTGAATCTGCTCCTGGAAAAGCTTCGCAGTACAGTAAGTGGAGATTCTTTGCCTTCTGTTAACTCACATTTGTTTTAATTTTTAAAAAATTGCATTTACACCAAATCTATAGATTTCAAATGACATATTGCAGGAATAAGTTAACTGTATAACCACTGCATTTGATAGTGAGGCAAGCTCTTATCTGCTGAAGCATGGCTGTTCCATGATCCAAGTCAACAAGTTAGTTATTAGGGGTCAGCCGTTTTGGATATTACCATCCAATACATGAATTGATGGCGCCTTCTGTGTGCATAGGTCGAGTGTTTCCGATGTGGCTCAAACCATTTTCAAAGTACTATTTAGTTTTAGATATGTATATTTTTAAAGTATCCCATCCTTGAGGGCTTCAGTGCCAGATCAAAGTATTGGGGAAGACTTGCTAGCAGATAATTGCCCATGATAAACACAATGAGATGTATTGAGAATCATTGCTTACACATCTGAGACCATTTATCTGCCCTATTCTTAGCATGCAAAGTACAAGTACCTACTAAAGCATCACTTCTTTATTTTCTTTGGCAGTCACTCATAGCCAAGTAAGATCATCTTCCATGAACAGGGTCTTAACAGTGAGTCTGTAAGTGACTGTGGAGGCCAATTCTGGAGCCATACGTCCTTCCACAGTGCGGACATAGGTTTCAGGGCAGGAGTTGATCACAGCCTTCCTGGGTGCACATGTTCCGGTTTCATAGAATCACAGAGTTAGAAGAGACCACGAGGCTATGGCTCTTAGTTCATAGTATCCAACACATCCAGATATGGATTTAAGGGTTTTTTGTGTGTTGTCCACCCAGCAGCAGGCGCCACCACAACTCATGTGTGTGATGTGATAAAGCTGTGCATGTGACAGAGAGACAGAGCAAAAAATGCTTATGGAAAGAGCATCCCAATACTATTGAATCTGTACAGGGTTTGGAACAGCTAGTTGAGAGCCTTTTAAATTGATGAACAAACGTCGTTCTTTTCAAGCAGCGTGTGAACAAATGCTGTGAAATAATGGAAGCTGGTTTTCTCTGCCTCTCTTGCTTAGATATAACAGGCACTTCAAAACCAGATGAAAACTTGGGAGGTGGAAAAGGGAGATTCTAGAGGAAGAGTAAATGTTCTTCGGGCTTTTTGGACTGTCTTTTGATGGTGTCATTCATTAGCTGCAGTCTTATTTGTATATTGTCCTCTGGATGTTTGGAATAAGTGTCTGAGATGTTCTGGCCATAATTGCCACATAATTATGAGTTGATTTAAGAGCCCCTCAGAAAGACCTCGAGCCAGACTTGTCAATTCATGTATTCATTAAATGCTTCCTTGATAAATGAATGCTTATCAGCCTTTTGGGATCCTGCTTTATGGCTCTGAAGTTGTGTAGACAGATTAGAAAATGCCTTATTTTGACGGCATCTGATCTATCTCAGAGCTCAGCCTAAAGCTCAAAATATTTTATCCTCTCCTCCATACCCCATGATGAGTGAGTAGTAGTGATGAGTGAACTCTCTTCCCCCAATATCTATAAACTGAGCTGCTCCCCCTATTGGAAATATATATATCAGTTTATTCCAGATCCTATTCAGAACTTGCCACCCACACTCTCTGAACACCATCAGGAATGCAGTGGCCTGAAAACTACTCAGTACTCTCTCAAAAGCCACTGTGGTCTGCCCTGTAGTTCTGTCCCCACTTAAATTTTGTGGGGTTTTTTGTTAACTGCAGCAGTGGCAGTACAACCTCCCTCATTCCTTTTTCAGAATTTGTACACTACTGTAAGGGATCCTGAGAAATGTAACTTTCCCAAGGCACTTGAGTTCCGGGTATCTACTAGTCTCAATAAAAAAAAAGGAGAGAGGAATTCTTCTTTAGCTAGGGAAAACTATTGCAAAGCACCTTGTTCTTCAAAGAGTAAAATATTCCTGTGCCTTTCTCTGTGTTTGCATTTACTTAAAAGGGAAAACAAGGTATCTTTTACCATAGAAGCCTGGAGGAAAAATACTGGTCAAGAAGTGAGGGGTAGTATCTAGAAAGGGAAAGGCTCAGTTTTAGAATCTTTATCCAATTCTCAGATGATCTGAGCTGGCTGCCTTCCTTCAAAAGGTGTGAAACTTTTTGAACGTACAGGAAGTTTAATCTTTTGCAAAGTTTGTCTGTCTTGCTCTCCCCCTTTTTCCCCCTCAAAGAAGAGGATCCAAACAATGGAGAAAATATTAATATGTACTAATATGGTACAAGAGCAGTTTGATTTAGATAATGCTTCTAAATGCCAGCTTTTCAGAAGGTGAAATAATTGAGATTTTAATGGGCAGTTGGATTCATATGGGGACGGTAAAGCCTGAAGCCTCAAAATCTATTATTTTACTTATAAGTGATTTGCATGTATTTTTGCGATGTTGCCAACCTGCTGTCTTTTCCAACAGGGGTCTAGCTTTATTCGCTGTATCAAGCCTAATTTAAAGATGACAAGCCACCACTTTGAAGGCGCCCAGATCCTCTCCCAGCTCCAGTGTTCAGGTAACTTGATGTGTCTTGTTCAGTTCTGTAGCACGATTGTCATGTAGATGAAAAGATTCATGTGGAGTTGTAACAACAGGGCTTTAGACAAGTCTTCCTTAATTAGAAACAACAGGTTACTTTTTAATTTCAGCAAAGCTCTGCCAGTGCAGCAAGATTACTGGTGCATAACAATAAGTGGGAGATAATATTGATTCTTAGTTAACCCAGCTACATTTTAAAGGGCAACAACTTAATCCTTGTTTCTCACGTAAGCATTTTAAAAGCAAAGAGGAAAGAACTGGGCATTCTATGCACTTGGATTGGGTTGAAACTTCCCACTCGCAGGACATTCCATGGGAAGGGGGATTTTTTTTTTGTCACTTCCTCCCTCACTCTGCAACCTACTGGTATTTCCTGAAAATCTGCTGTGAAGAGTTGGGTGATCCTCAAGAGCAGCATGGGAGGTGGTGCTGGGAGCTGCAGGTAAAAAGGAGAATCAGTCCAAAGCCCTTCTTCTTCCAGCAGGAACCTCTGCTTGGTGAGAGCTGCCTCAGCAACCAGAAAGCACCTGTCCATTCTTAAAATGCCATGTCACAATCTTGTCTACAGTAAAAGGGAAGCTTAATGGTAACGGTCTGAGCATGAGATCATAATGCATTATCAGATTAGAAAGAGAGCACCATGCCATCATCACCTGAGCACCTTTGAAATCTTTTATATTGCTGTCCTCCCATTTGCATATATTGGATTTGGATCTAATTACTGCTATACTAATTAATCTTCCATATAGCAGTTCTTTGTGAAGCATTGCATGGAAATTCTGTTACGAAAAGTTTACAGTTTAGATTCACACCCCAGATTCACCACCCCGACAAATGTAAAATAACTGTATTGGGGAGGTGGTCGTGGAAGATGCCAGTATATCCCCTTAGATCTTTAGTGCAGAGCTGGCATTTCACAAATCCAACTTTGAGGTCTTGCTCTGTGCACTGGCATCAAGGAGACGGGAAGGGAAGGGAAGGGAAGGAGAAGAGAAAAACAGCAGGCTGTGTTTGTAGGAGAGGGGTTCCACCTTTCTCAAGCCCCTTTCATTCCTTAAAGAACAAAAAGTCAGATCATACTTAGTTCTGTACTTCCCCTACTCCTGGAAATCCAGTTGCAGAGGGCAGCAAAGAAATCTGTAACAGGTAGCCCAGAGGCTACATATTTAGACACTGGGGTCAAACTAAAAAAAGTTAAGGTAAAGGACCCCTGGATGGTTAAGTCAAGTCAAAGGTGACTATGGGGTGTGGCGTTCATCTTGCTTCCAGGTCGAGGGAGCCGGCGTTTGTCCACAGACAGCTTTCCGGGTCATGTGGCCAGCAGGACTAATCTGCTTCTGGCACAATGGGACACTGTGATGAGTGCCAGAGGGCACGGAAACACCGTTTACCTTCCCGCCGCAGCAGTACCTATTTATCTACTTGCCCTGGCGTGCTTTCAAACTGCTAGGTTGGCAGGAGCTGGGACAGAGCAATGGGAGCTCACCCCGTTACACGGATTCGAACCACCGACCTTCCAATCATCAAGTCCAAGAGGCTCAGTGGTTTAGACTATAAAAACAAGGAAGTAGATAAGGGGTAGACAGCATCGTGCCCTCCAGATGTTGTTGAACTCCATCCGCCCTAGTCAACATGACCACATGGAGAGACTCCATTAGCTCCACCTGGAGTAGTAATTAGTCAAAGCTACGTGTCATGACAGCAAACATTGAAGGCACACACTTTTTTGAGGTTCATGTAAATTATAGGACTAGTTTCCTTGTGAGTTCTTGTGCCAAATTCCCAAAGTAGTCGGAGGAGATGTATTTATTTCCTTCTATTTTTTATAAAAAGAGTTGTCCACATTCCTGCATGGCTTGTCCATGATGACTTCTCTTGGAGGGGGGAAAAATCGGCATTAATGATGACATTAGAAACCTGATTTTTAAAACTATTTGAGAGTAATGTAGCTTGCGAGTTACAGGGAACCAGACAGAGGGCCTTCTTGGTTCAGGATGCTTTTCTGGTATTGTGGATTGGATCAAAATGTTTCCCTTTTCTGTTAAAAGTAAGCTTTTTCTAATGGGGAGCAGGAAGGTTTGACTCCAAACCTGTGAAATCAATAGTATACTCTAAGGCTGCAGTGCATTAATCTGAGAGCCGCGCCCACTGAACTCAGTGAACCTTACTTCTGCAGATACATTCATAAGATGGACTGCAGCCCTTAAGGCACCCAGCCGGAGGTTCCATTGACATTCATGGACCTTTTTCCCACTGGAATGTTTATAATTCAGGTGCAATAGACCCAGTGCATCCACTTTTCTTCACTGCTCACAAATCCTGTGTGTACCTACCTACACCTGCCTCAAGTCACACATGTGCAAAGAGCTAGTGCCTTCTCTAGCATTTTAATTGTTTAACTTCTGTTGGTGGCTATTTTGCATCTAAGTCACTTTGGATACATGAGTAGCAAAGTGACAAATAATAGCGCAAACCTATACTCCTTTACTTAGAAGTATGCCCCGTTGACTTCAGTGGAAGTACTTCCCAGGTACATTATGCATAAAACTGCAGCCTAAATCTCTGCCAGTCTAGGCAAAATGCTCTCACTCGCTGTCATCTGGGGAGCAAGCAGAGCTGTGGATTGGACATCAGAAAATCTGGGATACAGAATGGGTTTTCAGGAGGCACCTAATTTCCTCTGAAATAAGCCTCATTTCCAGTTAGGCTTCCAGTTTCCATTAGCTGCCACCTCAGCTTTTCTCTTAATTTAGCATGCCAGAGGGGCCCTGAGACTTTAAGCATCTGGTTCATCTTGGCAAGCCTCCCTCTTGCTTGTCATGTCAAGTTACATTTAAAGTTTAATTTAGCAAATCAGTCACAAACGCTTAACAACTTTGCTTTAATTAGGGTTCTATTGACACCATTTTTGGCTGATAATCTGAAGGCTGATCGCTCTTGGCAAGTATTGTGAAAGAGGGAGGTGGGGAAGTAATAAAACTCCGTACTTCCGTGTTGCTCGCAAGCCGTGGTTTTCTTTTATGGGTTTCTGTTTCCATCTTCTCGTTGAGAAACAAGTTCATGCAAATTTAAAGGGGGAGAAACATGCTAAAAATAAATGGCTTATTAATATGAGAAGCAGGGGAGGGAGAAATTAAAATAACATGAATGTCTCCAAGAATAAATACAGCAGAGAGCATCTTCTGTCTCCCCCCTTTTTTTAAATAGAAAGGACTGTTAGCCACATGACAGACTGCACATCTCCCATTTATTTGGATTTCTCTTCCAAGGTTGCATTTATTGATTTGTTGTACAAGAGTTCTTAGCTAACCCTTCACCATGAGGGCAGGTTACATCATAATATAGGCTTATAAAAACAGATAAAACAGTTGATAAAATGAAACCATCCTAGCCAGGACAGAATAATATAAATTTAGCAGAAGAGGCGACTCTCACAAAACAAACAAACAAACAAAAACAAATTTCAGGCAATGAATCAATATCTAATAGCACACCCAGTAAGAAATTTCACTGTCTCTAAAATAAAATATTAAACTTCAGTACACAAATACCCAGCATATGTGCATTTGTGTACTCCTGGATGCATTATACCCATGCACACGTTATAATTAGAGTCCAGACTATACAAGAACTGGAAGTTTTAAATCTCGTTCAGGAGGCTAGACAACCAGATTACCTTATACCTTTGCTCATGTCATCCCTGCTCAACCTCACTCCCCTTCAAACAGTCCAGTGAGTCTGTCTTCATGGGAAAGGTTTTGAGTCGAGTGGGTATTTTCCAGCTCTTGCCCACTTGCCATTTCCAAATTGCTACACCCTTGCTATGCTTGAGTAACTCTGCTATTCTATCGATCCTTTTGGACTTCCTGACACCTTTGATAGTATTGAACATTTGGTGTATGTGGTGATGTGATGTGACTCGCTTGGGATCTGACTTTGAGCAGCTGATCTGATTTTGAGCAATTCTACTAGTACAGACAGACACTCTCGCCATTCCCTTCTGTAAAATGTGACCGGGGCTTCCTGGGATATGTTGGTCCTTGGGTGATGTTCAGCCAGTCACTGTGTCTCAGAATAAATGCGCAACGCTTGCAAAGTTTTAATGATCCCCGCCCCAGAGCATTGTGAGAGTGACAGCCGTGTCCTTTTAACTGAATTGGTGACATGTTTTTGCATGCTCGTTTCTCTAGGCATGGTGTCTGTTTTGGATTTGATGCAAGGTGGCTTCCCATCCCGAGCCTCATTCCATGAGCTATATAACATGTACAAAAAGTACATGCCTGCAAAGCTGTCTCGTTTGGATCCTAGACTCTTCTGCAAGGTATTAACGTCTAGAATGCTAAATACACTTCCTTTGTATTTTTTATCATAGAGAATTGATATTCATTGAAATCTTTGTCCTCTCAAAGGATTTATTCATCAAAGTGTTTTTCTCCTCTCCCAGGCACTCTTCAAAGCCCTTGGATTAAATGAAAATGATTATAAATTTGGATTAACCAAAGTGTTTTTTAGACCTGGCAAGGTAAGTGTTATTGTTATCCAAGGAGAGTTGATGAATGTGAACATTTTCTACCCATTCTTTCTGTAAAGTAATTGGTAACTAAGATACGTGAAAGCTGGGTTGTTTTTAAAAAATACAAAACAAAACCACAATTTAATTTTGTCTCTTCTGATGATGCAGATATTAGCAATGCCATTTCCATGTTTTATTTACTTATCTATTTAAGATACCTTGATCAAACTTCTCCCTGTAATCAGATTGGCTGATAGCAGATTTAAAAACCTAAATCTCTGGAACACAAAAAGTCAAAAAATGAGAGCAATGGTTTAAAACCCCACAATGAGCAGTAAAGCCTTAGGCACCAAAAGGTTTAGTAAACAAATAGGACTGACACCTTTTTCAAAAAGCCAGGGGAGATAACAAACTTTCTTAGAGAGATGATTATTATTATTATTATTATTATTATTATTATTATTATTATGGCTACAGTTGCAAAAGCCCTCCTTCATTGCTCTTGCAGCTGTATCATCATCTGCTGGCTCAGAATTGGGGCAAGGCAGTTTGCCAGACCATCAGATAGCCAGATCTATAGTGCATGTGGCTCATGCAAGGAAATCTATTTAGTTCTTTATTTTTATTCATGCATTTATAACCCACAAGGTGGAATACAACCTATAGAAATAAAATAAACAAAAAATACCCATTAAACAGCATTTAGAAACATCAATAAATACCGATCGATTAAAGAGGATGGGGGGGGGGAGTTATGTTGTAAAGGCCTGCCTGTACACACACACAAAAAGTTTCCAGAAGATTCCTGAAGGGAGCAGTGGTTCCTATTGAACCTCTACTGGTGTCGAGTTTGACAGGGCGAGGCCTGCACACTAAATGCTCAGTCCCTGGGCTGAACCTCAAGGGAGTGAGGAACCACCAGAAGTGCTTCATCAGATGGTCTCAGTGATCAAGGTGGAGTCTAAGCAATCAGGCAGTCCCTAGGCCCATTTTTATTTTTAACATCTGTCCGTCCATCCATCCATCCATCCATCCATCACAGTCTGGCTTTAAATGTAAAAACCATCACCTTGAATAGAGCCCAGAAGGCCCCCCGCCGCCCGTGGCCATGGCCTTCACTGCCATGGTTACAACATTCTGTTTGTGCTTCATCCCGCCTGAGCCCCCTCAACATTCCAAAACAGCTGTCATGTAAATGATTTCCTCTTTGTGATGCTGGTGTCCACTTTCAGTTTGCAGAGTTTGATCAGATCATGAAGTCTGACCCAGATCATCTTGCTGAGTTGGTTAAACGAGTCAACCACTGGCTTATCTGCAGTCGTTGGAAGAAGGTCCAGTGGTGTTCTCTGTCGGTTATTAAATGTATGTATTCACGGGTCTCTTGGGGGTGTGTCTGGAGGGGGGTATTTGTGAGCCAACATTGAAAGCTTCCTAAAGCTGCAGACTCTTAAAGCACACTTACTTGGAAATACTAGAACCCTGGAGCATGCAATGAAATGGATCAGGGGTATGTTCAGAACAGCCATTCCACACAGTGCATTATTTATGGACTGTATTATTTATGGAATTCACTGCCACAAGATGCCCTGATGAGCACTAGCTTAGCTGTTGCTACTACTCAGGATGGTTATAGGCAGGATTATTTCAGAGGTAGGATGTTTTTCAGGACTTGTTGCTAGGGGGCAGCAACAGGAGAGGTCTGGTGCCTTTGTATCTTGCCTATGGACTTCCCAGAGGCATCTGGTTGGGGATCATGGGGAATGGGACAGAGTGGATGAGACAGACCTTTGGTTTGATCCTGTAGGCAATCTTCTTATGCCCATATATTAAGTCAGAGGTAGGCAACCTAAGGCCCGGGGACCGGATGCGGCCCAATCACCTTCTCAATCCGGTCCGCAGACGGTCCAGGAATCAGTGTGTTTTTACATGAGTAGAATGTGTGCTTTTATTTAAAATGCATCTCTGGGTTATTTGTGAGGCATAGGAATTCGTTCATTATTATTTTTTTTCAAAATATAGTCTGGCCCCCCACATGGTCTGAGGGATGGTGGACGGGCCCACGGCTGAAAAAGGTTGCAGTCCCCTGTATTAAGTTGTGGAATTCCTTATCACAAGTTGCTGCGATGGCCTGTCAGTTTAGGCCAGGGGATGGGACACCTTTGACCCTCCAGGTATTGTTGGTCTGCAGCTTCCATCGTCCCTGACCATTGGTCATAGTGACTGGCTCTGATGGGTCCTACAGCATCTCAAGGGCCACAGGTTCCCCATACCTGGTTTAGAGGCCTTAAAAATGCTGCACACCTGGGTGAGAGGGGTCTTGAGAAATGCTCATAGATTAATAGATAGACTGAATGATCAAATTCCCAGAGGCACAGTGTGCTTCTAAATACCAGAAGCTGGTAGAAAAATAGCAACAGGGGCTGCTAACTTTGTACTCTTAATTTGGGAGCTTACTGGAAACTGGTCATGGATGCAAACCCAATGCTTGGTTTTGAGGGTTTTTTAGTCAGATCCAGCAGGCCCCATGCATTATAATTTAAGTCTCCCACACATGGGAGTGGGGCTCATAGCCAGGTAAATTTGTTCAGAAGCATGAGTACTGCTCACACAAGAATTGTTGATGGCCACAGTTGCCTTAACCACAAACGAGGAAAGGGAATGACGACATCTGTTAGTTCAAGCTTGGGGAACTGATGACCCTCCAGATGGTGATGGAGCGCAACTCATATCAGCTGCATCCAGCATGGTTAGTGGTTAGGGATGAAGGGTGTTAAATTCCAACAACATCTGTTAGGACACAGGTTCCCTGCTCCAGAGTTTGCTTTTAAATAACAAAACCAAAACCCAAACAACATTGCGTGAAGTTTTTGTCATCTGCTTGCCCTACCTTCCCAGCTCCCATTTTATAGCATCATTATATATTGTTATTATTTCATTACATTTAAACCTCACCTTTCCTACCTTATGCCCTACCTGCATATTTGTGATGGTCTTTCAATTTTCTCTTTGTATTTCACAGTGAAAAACAAAATAAAATACAGAGCCGGTGCCTGCATTAAAATACAAAAGACGATTCGTATGTGGCTGTGCAAGAGAAAGCATAAACCACGGTAAGAAGAAGCAATCCTATATATATGCTTGCACCCCACTCCTAAATACCAGTGTACTGAATGACCCGTCCGGTTTTGTTGCTGGCAGAACCTGTACATCCCATCCAAGGCCTTGAGAGCCTGGGAAAGAGTTCTAAGGGATGTTAGGGGTGTTCCTTCTAGGATGCTGTACTGCTCATCTTAGGGCCAACTTCACATTACACCAGTGCCGTGAGCAGCGGTCACGCTTTTGTTGTTTTAATTGAAGTAAAATTAAAAATCTGCTTGCCCCCACATTCCCCAGATATGATCTTCGTAAATCTCTCTCTCTCTCTCTCTCTCTCTCTCACACACACACACACACACACACACACGTAGCAATTAGCATTATGAAGGGTGGGTGGTGGGTGGGCAAGACTTCAGTTCTATTGGTGCTGCCCTCCCTCATCTTGGGAAAGATTAAGTGCTCAGGGGAGCCTTCAAAACTACTTATTTATGTGATGTATTTGCAACATTTCTGAACTGCCCAGCTGCAAAAATAAAATACAGAATCTCTGGGCGGTTCACAAATAAGTTTCAGCTATGAAGTATAGAATTAGGAACCTAGAGAGAAAACCCTAAACAGTTTAAAAACAGCACTGGAATAAAGCCAGGCGTGAAAAACAACTGTAACGCAACAAACTTTTTTTAAAAAAATGTGTATCTTCCATCACAGTCCCTGTGTGCCATAAAACTTGCAATGCAAGACAGAATTCATAAGATTGGTGCAGTTGCTCTGCTTGTTACCCTGTCTGCAATTTTTCTTTTGAACTCCATGGCTTTGTCCAAGGGGAACCTGAGGGCACAGCATGGGACAGCGGTTCATAGCTAACATCCAGTGATACCTACTGTGTACTGCTCTGTGAACTTGGAATGAAGGGCAGCATATAAATTCAACAAATAGTTTGTGCGGTGGAAATCTGGTTGCACAAAAAGGGCTTCTGGTGTTTATCCTGCTCTCACACAACCCCCCAGAAATGTGCTCCTCACCAGGGTCCCCCAGAAGAGGAGAGGAAGGAGTATCCCCTGATATAAGTAGATGCCCCGTTGCTTGATGTTAGATCTCACTCTATGTTTGCTGCCTGCTTCTCAAAGGAGGGAGCCTTTTCTGAAATGTAGAGAAATGTTCCTTTCACAGCATTGATGGGCTAATAAAGGTCCGCACCTTGAAGAACAGGCTTGATAAATTCAATGAAGTAGTAAGTGCTCTGAAAGAGGGGAAAGCAGAAATGAGCAAGCAGGTCAAGGACCTTGAAACGTCTATTGATGCTTTGATGATCAAGATTAAGGTAAGATAACATATTGAGAGCAAGGTAAGAGAACATATTGAGAGCATATTATGTCCTGTAGATCTTCTGCTCTTAGGGATGAGGCCTTGGGGGGCATTTGATGGATTCAGAATCAAATTCCTATTAAGGCTTAAGTTTAAAAATATGCAAGGCGCTTAGTGTTTCATGCTAAATCTTTAAAATTTGGCACCCTAATCATCCATGCAGCACACAGAAAAGATGAATTGTGTGATAGCTTTTTTTAAAAAAGCATGTAAATATGCATATTTCTTCCTACTTTGTGTAATTCTGTGCCTTTTTTTTTTTTTTTTGCTTGTTTCTACAACCCTTTTTCTGGTTCTGCTCATTGTTAAAGGAGTGAGGAAACAGGATTTTCCTTGGACACGCTACTGCAAATCTTATTCAACAATCTCTCATCGTCTCTGAAATTTCAGCAGTCGTTTCCGTTTCTTTTTGAAGCACATTTTTTTGCAGCCATGAAGGCTAGTGACTAATGGTTTGTTTTGCAGGCCACTGAAATGCCTAGGCAGCAGATCCAGAAGGAATACGATGGTCTAGTGAGAAGCTCAGAGCAGCTTCTGGGCTCACTGCAGAAAAAGAAGCAACAGGAAGAAGAGCAAGAAAGGCTGCGGCGAATCCAGGAGGAAATGGAAAGAGAACGGAAGAGGCGTGAGGAAGAGGAGCAACGTCGGAAGAAGGAAGAGGACGAAAGGCGACTGTGAGTGTCCAATGCAATTGCCAGTTCTAGGGCCAAGGCCAACAGAAATACAGGCATGGACAACCGTCCAAAGTGAACTTTCAGTCTTAGAAAATTATCCTACAGAGATCCAGGCTGGGGAAACCTTTTCAGCCATGTTCCCTCATGGGAAACTTGTTCAGGGGCTTCATGCCAGTGGTGTACGAAGCCAAAGGCAAAAGTGGTCAGAGGAACAGTAGGCGATATTCCAGACATGAAAAGCCAGAGGTTATTGCACATGCCCCCCCACCCTCTCCCTCCAGAAAATGAAAGAGCTGACCAGCCAAAATCACTCAATGGGGGTGGGCAGTGTGGCCTGGGTCAAGCCCAAGGGCCAGATAGATACATCCTTGTTTTAACCATAGATAGAAGACTAAATCCCAAGGAAACTGTATTCTTAAGAGACTGTCTCTTGAGTGTCTCCCCCCCCCCCAATAATCCTCTCGATGTAAACTTGTTTGCTTTCTTGTGGGAGAAAACAACGACGTAACGGTAAAGTGAGAGGAAGGGACAGAACAGTTCCTGAATGTTCATTTTCTTGGAGTGTCAATTTTGTTTTTCTAGAAAGTATGAGATTGAAGCAAAGAGAAAACAGGAAGAGGAGGAGAGGAAAAAAAGGGAAGAAGAAGAAAGACGAATTCAGGTGGGACAGTTGCACTACTGGCACTTTCTTTGTCTCACAGTCATGCCCTCCCTCCCCAAAGTTTCCACAACGGACTGAATGGAACCTGCTCAAATGTAATACTAAAGCAAGTGTTCTGAGTCACAATTTGTTGAAGATGGAGTGTGTGTGTGCATAGAACAATTAGGTGGTGGCGGCAAAAGGGCAGGTGAGATACAGGAAGTGGCCTCACAGAGTAACAGGTAAGACTTCCAACTTCCTTAAGGATATTGCTACAGGGAGTGATTAAATGTTCATGTTAAAATAGGTACCACCAAGCTAGATTTAAGACAGTCGTGAGCTTCAGCCCTTAGATTTGGTTCTGTGCTTTAAATCCACTACTGACATTAATATAATTTGGAGCACCGGAGGAGAAGGAGATTACGCTGCCTTAAAGAGAAAAGTACCTGCTAGGAGGAATGTGTCAGTTTTGAGCGTGGAGGTTTAATGAGAGGGCTATTGCTACTCACAGATATGACAGAATAATGAAACCATGATTTAAATGTCAGTTTTGTTAAAAAGATTCCTTACAAAGTAACACTCATTTGCGGAAGCTTTTGGCTGCTCTTTAATGGAATCATAATGATAACGTATATTACTTGATAGCTGAGTTCTGCACTCTTTTGTTATATAGACCAGTTTTCTTTTTCATAATGTGACTTTGTATTAATCTCTTAAACTATGTTTAATTAAGAGAAGCAAAAGATCGCTGTTGGCATCATACCCATTATTTCAAGATAATCTTGGCCCGCTTTGTGTTTAAATAACTCCTGGCTGGGATGTATTTAAAGGATATGTAGCATATATGAAGCTTTGCTGATCTGCCAGTTCTGGAATTTTTTTATAGAGTTGTATGTCTAAGTTCCATTTAAGAAAAGTCATCTACCAAAGGTACTTTACCTGTTTTGGGATCCTTTGTTCCCTGTTATAAACAGGGACACTACTTTTTCTGTATTTTTTACAGGTTCTGTAACTGACTAGGTTACTGGAAAGATGTCTAATTAAGTAGTTCCATGCTTCTTACAGTAGCTAATTCTCTAGTCTGTTTATAATCTCTGTCTACACATTTTAAGAGCTGCAGACAGCTTTGTATCAGTGATCTAACAGCAGGATCTTTCTTACTTTCACCTGGTGCCATTTATTTTATTTATTATTCATATTTTACCTTTCCTCCAAGGAGCTCGTAGAGTAATGCCGTTATTGAGTAGCATTTAAATAATGCAAATAAACAAGGGATTATAGATACAACAAAAAAGGCACCCTTTGTGCATTTCCAGGCTGAAGCATGCATTGCAACCAAACTGAGGGCATAATCAATTGTTGCTATTCAATCCTCATTCTTTCCTGTTATTCCCTTTCCTGGTAATGGCGCTTGCACAGGACTGGTTGGTCGGCCGGCCAAGTATGCTGGTAACTGTGTGCCTTGGTCTTGATAGACGTAAAGGGATGCCTTGTTCAGTTCAGTCTATGACCTTTCGGTGGATTTCCTTTCACTTGGCGATAGCAGCAGAGCAGCTGTTCCTTTCAGTGGGGCTTTTCCTTAGGCCACATTCAATCGGCTTTCCTTCTTGTGTCTGCTGCCACCGGGTAATCCAAAGTAGGGATCTGCATAGGGAAAGTCTCCATCGCAGAAATGGAGATTTACTCGATAATACCATAATTGGAATGAGAGCCCATACCAGTCTGTGACGGTCATCCAGCCCACCGTTCTGGGAAGGCATTGCTGAATTAGGGAACGTCAAGCGGACTGTTGAGAGTGTGTTGGTAGAGAGGTATTTTGGCACATGACAGCTGCTTGGGTCCTCAAGCTGTAGGAAACCTACACCACCAGTTACTCCACTTTCAGTAAGAGATGCATGGGTCATGTATTCCATGGAAGATTCTACTCATTTAAACTTTTTCAGGTAGGAAACGGTAGCATGGTCGCTAGGTTTCATTCACAAGTGGCCAATAAAAAAAGAAAGACATAATTGGAGTGAATTTTTGATATTTCCCTATAGAAGCAGCTCCCTAAACGCACCATTCTGGAATAACGCAATGCAAAAGAACAAAAGAAAAGCCAGTACATTACAAGTGCTTTGCGAAATGCATTTTGCAGTCCCCTCTCTCATGAACTCAGCCAAGCAGTCTCAACTACATAGCATTATTATTGTTTTAAAAAAGATAATGGATAAAACTCTGCTATGTACAATTGCAGACAATTCTGCAGCTGTCTGGACCCATAATTTAGTTATGTAAACCACTTAAACGTCTTTTGCCTGAGAGGTATATAGAATTTCTTCTAAAATTTGTTGATTTTCTGTGAGCTGTATTGCTTTTTCCCAACTCTGAAGATTTCTATCATGAAAACCTGGTTTCTAAATTAACATATGAAGGGCTTCCTATACTGAACTTATACTTCTTTTCTCATCTTGATTCACACTGTTTGCAAGCTCTCCATGGGCTTACAGTAACCCATTTGAGCACAGGTGTTTTAGGTTGTATTTTGTAAACTCGACTGTGTGTTTCACCTAAGTGATCATTTTTCTACAGAAGCAGGCTGTATCAACTTGGGAAATGTTTCCCCATGTAACTTAATTTTACGTCACTCTCCAGGCTGAAGTTGAGGCACAGCTGGCACAAGAACGCGAAGAAGCGAACCAGCAGCAGGCAGTTCTGGAACAAGAGCGCAGAGACCATGAGCTGGCCATGAGAATTGCCCAGAGTGAGTCTGAACTCATCAATGATGAATCTCAGCTGGACCTCGGGTTGCGCAGGTATTGCACTTTGTTAGTTTTGCCCTTTAAAAAAGATATTGCCATTGAAAAGGTGTCTTTCTTAAATAGGAAGCTAACATTATTTCTTATTTTATTTTATTTACTGCATTTTAAACATTTGTATGCCCCCTTTAAGAATGAGCACTTTCTCCAAGTAGTGCCTATAAAAACAATCTACAATGCAATTAGGGACGTGGGTGGCACTGTGGTCTAAACCATTGAGCCTCTTGGGCTTGCCGATCAGAAGGTCAGCGGTTTGAATCCCCACAACAGGGTGAGCTCCCGTTGCTCGGTCCCAGCTCCTGCCAACCTAGCAGTTCAAAAGCACCCCCCCAAAAGTGCAAATAGATAAATAGGTACCGCTCTGTCTGGAAGGTAAACAGCGTTTCTGTGCATTGCTCTGGTTTCGTTGTTCCGTTGCGTCAGAAGCGGCTTGGTCATGCTGGCCACATGACCCAGAAAAACTGTCTGCGGACAAACACCTTCTCCTTTGGCCTGTAAAGCAAGATGAGCACCTCAACCCCAGAGTCGTCTGCGACTGAACTTAACTGTCAAGGGTCCTTTGCCTTTACCTTTTACAATGCAATTAGCATCCCAAATATTGATAAACCTGGGAAGCCCCTTCTGAATAACACACACACACACAGAGATTGAACTGAGCAGTAATAAAACAAACACCCAGCCCAAAACGAAAATGAGTGCCTTTGAAAGATTATCTTCATTCCAGGAACCCATGTGCTTGCTTGTTTGTGCTTAAACCATGGTTTAACTTAGCATTTCATACCGTAATTTTAGTTTAAGCCAATTTAATAGCAGCATGCCATTTAAGTGCAGCATAAGTTCTACTGTGTGTGGTTTGTAACCCCAAACCAAAGAAACTTTTCAAGAATTTACCAGCTATCCTTTGATTTCGGACACATATCCTCCTAGTGCTGTATAAATGAGTAAGAAGGCTCCAGTCAAATTTACTTTAGAACATATCCAAATATTAAACTTGCTTAGGTCTTCTGTCCTTCCTTTGCATCATATATATTCCTGTTAGGCGAAATCCTTCTGTTAATTCTCACCACTAGGCTTAATATGGTGCTAGGGCTGGAGTATTGGCTCAGTACTGGGAAAGCCCAGGTTCAAATCCTAACACTGTTAGGAAACCCACCAGTTGACCTTGGGGGGATTGGCTGTCTCACCATGATCTACCTCAGAGGATCGTGGTGAGGATAAAATTGGATGGTGGAGAGACCAGATACACTCCCTTGAGCAATTTGGAGTAAGGGCTAGATAGAAAAACACTTAAGTGAAAAAACAACATTTTAAGCCACCCCTGAGAAGCGGGTGATGGGCCCTGTGGATAATAGCAGGCATTCATTTGCCCAAACAGGCTTTGTAATGTTGCAAAACTAACTTAGGAAAATGCTACACTAACCAAAATATCTTCTATTTGCAGACCCAATGGAACAAGATGTCAAATGACTGCGTATGACAATCTTTTTTTTTTATGGGGCATTCTGTAGAAATCTGTGGGCTTTAAAAAAAATTTAATAATTTTCCACAGTGTAAGCCACCTTGCTAATGAATGTTCTTTTATTTCCATTTACCTCAGAATAGTTATAATTTGAGCATGAGTCCTGTTTGAGTGTAAGTCTGCTTATATACAGGTGCAATTGGTTGTAATTTAAATGTCACCTATGTAAGTGTGGTTGTTTGATTCAATCAAAGTGTATATTTCTGATATCAGCTAAACAAAGATTAATTGTTGTTTTACTGATAAAACTCTGGATCGGTTTAGTGTAGCATAATTTTTAGGATAGACATCTGTCTGCTTAATCAGTATTAGATGTTATAAAACTACTGGAATTACTATGCTAGCACTTTTAAACATTATATTCCCTCTACCCTCATATATTCTTAATTCTTTTATAGGGAGCAAATGGCCACTGAAATGTCAGAAATTTTGTCTAGGTGGGTGTAACATGTTGTCGGAAACAAATCAGTTCAATCGCCATATGAAATAATCATAATAAATCAAAATAAAGTACAATTCAGTTCTATTTGAATTGCTTTGGGAAAATGAAGAAATAACTTCTAATCAAGATTCGTTCATTGCACCAATTTAGTACCAATTTGCACCCATCAGATTTCTTTTAAGAAATAATTTCACTGTTAGATTTATGAATTGCACGAAGAATTAATTTTCATCAAAGTTCTTATCTAATATTATTGATGTAGATAAATTGAAGAGATTTCTTGCCGCTTTAAAAAAACTTCCATTTCATGCATTTCCATATTGAGAATTGCCGCAGTAACTGCCTCTTAGCATGTGGCTTCTGAAAAGCTATTAAATCTTGAAATCCTGACAGATCTATTTTAAAGAACAGCAGGATCAAAATCTTACCTTGTTGCCAAATAGTACTACCTAAACCAATTACAGACATGTGGCATATATTCAATAATGTTCTTATTGTACTGTTGTACAGAGAATGTTAGAATGCACTCCTCCTTTCTAGTAAAAAGGACTCCGTGTGTTATTGAGCTGCAAATTAAACGTTGTCCATTCTCACCTCCAGGCCAGATGCAGCATGAAACATTAAAAAATAAAAAATAAATAAAAGTAATGCTTTGAGAAAATTAAATAAGCAAATGTTGGATGTTAAGCTCTTCGCATACGACCGTTTTGTATATCAAACTGCATTCTTATTATCCCAGTAATTGATTTGCCAGAACATCCCATTTTTATTGTATATACTGGCCAAAATCCAAACAACAGTTTGACTAGTTTGTTTTGCATGGGAATAGAAAGAGAGGGTCCTGTGGATATGAACAGCTGCATGCCACATGGAAATGAATGTATGAAAGTAAAAAGAATTGCAGAGGAACTTTGTGGCATTGGAATGATGATTGGGAACCAACTCCTTTAAGGTGGTTACTTTTGGTGGTGGTGGGATGTGTGTTTGTGTACGTGTACATGTGTGTGTGTACACACACCACACACACAGAGAGTGTTCAAAGAGGAGAGTTGGAGACAGAAAAAAACATTGGTTTAGCACAGGGGTCAGCAAACTTACCGTGCCTCGGGATGGTGTCTCCAGCGCCGATCGCCTGGAGGGCGGGGGAACGCGTGCCCATACCCATGCGCACACACTATTTCTGGCGCACTTCTGGGTTGGAGGAGCACTGGAAATAGCTTGTGCACATGTGCATGGGCCTCCTCCTACCCAGATGTGCACCAGAAATAACGCTTGCGCATGCAACTCCAACCCGGAACTGGGCAGCCGTGCAGCGGTAAGAGTGGGCAGTGGCAGCGGTCTCCGCGGGCCGGATAAACGAGTCCCTCGGGCCTTATCCGGCCTGCGGGCCTTTGTTTGGGGACCCCTGGTTTAGCGCACGCTTTGGACTTGCCAGAAATAATTATTTGGGTCTTAATTCATTTGTATTCATATTTAACATTCCAGCTCCCAAGATGATTGTTACGCATATCCCTTTCCTTTAGTTTTACTTTATTGACAGTTACTTAGTTTCCCTTCAGTGCATTTGTACATTGGTGTGCTGAGTGCGTCTGTGGCAGGAGTGGGAACCTTCCGTTCTGTGGGCCTCCCCATTTGGCCTACAAGGCTGTTTTGACCAAACCGTGTCATCTGTATCCAATTCCCCACCCCTAACTATCAACTTCTGAAAACTCAGGCCAAAGGTAATAAACCTGTAATACACACATGAAGTTGTATTCCACCTCTCTTTAAAAAATAAATAAAAAATGTCCAGGAATTCTGGAGACTGTGTGCACACTTCCCCACATTGAAGAGAGTGCAGGAGTTCCTGGCCACATGGATCTCTATTTTCATATTGGGTGTTACAGAATCTGAGCCTCTGGAATAGGGTGCTTGCCTTTATCAAGTTTATGTATGAATGACATGCTTGCTCATGTGACAAATGAGGTTGCAATGTCAAAATGAATAACTTAAATGAGCATGTGTATTTGACAGATTATCCATTACATTGGGCTGTTTCACAAGTTGCACAGCAGTAAACCCTGGTTTGTCCGAAAGGGCACAATGGGAATGGAGACACTACCAATCACACCTTACTGACAGTTATGAATCACAGGTTTGTTGTGTCCACATAACTGTGATCTTAGCAGAACCATCAAAGAAAAGCTAAGCTACTCAATTGGATTACCATTCTTAAAGATTACTTGTTTAACCAGAGATCTTTTGGCCTAGTTCTGTTGATCTAAACTATCTGAGGGATACTTAGGCCTACGGGTGCTGCAGCTAAATAAAGAAAATCCTCAGGATTTGTCACATTAATTGTTCAAGAGGCTTAGTCATTATATTGAGGAAATTAGATTTAACAACCACTGTTTTTGTGTCTAACAGGAAGTGTGCCAGCGGTTTAAAACATAACCTTTACATTTCATTGTGCCGTTACAATGCACAATTTTATGCACTTGCATTTTGTGTATATATAGTTATAAGGGCAATGAGAGTCTCTAAAATGTATTTGAGTTTCAGGCTGTTTAAATAGCGAATGGGGAATTAATTTGTCATTTAAGATATACTTTTATGGCATGCACTAATGTAATGGCTGCAATAAAAGGCTATTGATTTCTCAGCTGTGCAAAAGGCCACTCGCCACGTTTGAGATTGTGTTAAACAGTAAGGAACAGAGCACATTGTTAATATTTTAATAATGAAAATTGAGTTCTTGTTGGTAAGGATAGTTGGATCAATATGACTGGCATTCTTGAGTTCTCTTGATAATAAACTTGCAGAATCTTGTCTAGTCCTAACAACATTTTAACTTCTTCTTCTTTTTTAAAGCTGCACTTTAATATCACATTAGACACTGCTTGTAACATAATAAGGCACTCTTAACTAAATTCTCAGACGCTCATAGACATATTTTTAAGGGTAATGGATCTAAGTGGCAGAAAAGAGTAAAAACTGATACTGAAGATTTAAGGAAAATTGAACCAGTTTTACCCAGAACCTTATTTATTTATTCTAAAGCATTTCTAAACATATTAATGTTTAAGATCTCTAAGCAGCACATAAAAATCTATAACTGAAACCAGTATAATAACTGCAGTGATAAAAGCACACCTGTCCTTTATAGGGCATCCTCCCTGAACCTTGGGTTTTCAGATGTTGTTATAACTCCAGGACCCTTCATTCCCACCCCAAAGTGACAAATGGTTAGGAATGATGGGAATTGTATCTCTGCAGTACCTAGAGCCTCAGCGTTGAGGCCATTGTAGCAGCTACTACAGAATGAGTTTAGAGAGAAATGTGGGAGTGAAGCAAGACTGTTGGCTAGTTTTCCTTTCACTCAAAGAATGACAATGTTAGAGCACTGTATACTTCTGTGTTATGCAGCAAGAGTGTTTGCTGTGCGGGCATTTGGCTCCGTGATGGTTTTGTCTGCCATCTTCAATTTCCTGATGGTCTTCTTAAGCAGCTCTTGTTATAACATAGAACACTGTCCCTGAGTCATATGTAGTTCAAGAGCAATGGAGCATTGAGGCAGTTCAGGCGAACTGTTGCTGCTACTACTCCCTCTCCCAACAGAAAACAGTTCCTGAGAAAAGCTTGGGAGGGGAAGACCATAGAAGTTGGTGGAAACATTGCTAGCAGGAGCTGCTTCTGCTTTATCAATGGCATCTCAAAGTTAGGAGCAGGGAATATAGGCAGGGTTGAAAAGGTGAATATCAAGAATTAGTAGGCTGAGTAGGAGAGGGGAAAGTAGGATGAAAAGGAAAGCTTGAAAGGGGGGGGGGGTGAAATCCCAGGTCTGAGGTGAGAGATAAGGCACTGTAGGCTTCTGTAGGGCAGAGAGGAGATTTATTAGCAATAGAATAGGCTGCTCGGTTTTGAGGAATGATGTGTGTGCACACATGTGTCCTGTGGGCCAAGGGTGCGGCTATTTCATGTGCTGCTGCTCTGAAGCTTGAAGGATATTTAGCTATTCTTGGTAGAGAGACAATTGTCCAGGTATTCAAGAGGTAAACATGCTTCCTTTGGTTGGTTGTTTTCCTGTTTGTGGCCGCTTCTTGCAGATCCTTTCTCCCTGTTTAGAAGCTTTTAGAATTCTCAAAGATGATGTTTAACTTTGGATGGATTTTTATATAGACCGACAGGATGGAAAATGAAATAAATGACCAGAAAGGAGAATAGAGATCCTCAGTCTCTGTTTTGATCAATATGTCTGTTTGACAAAGCTATGAAGCCATGCAAAGACTGCCTCTCCCCATATGAACCTACCTGGATCCTTCGATCATAATCTGAGGCCTTTCTTTGTGTGCCTCCTCAAGAAGTCCAGAGGGTGGCAACATGAGAACAGGCCTTTTCTGTGGTGGCTCCCTGTTGTGGAATGATCTCCCCAGGGAGGCTCACCTGGCCCCTTCATTACATAGCCTTAGGTGCCAAGCAAAAATGTTTCTCTTCAACCAGCTGATTAACATTCTATGGCTTTTTACATGTGTTTGTGATATGGAGAGTTACTGGTTTGTTTTCGTTTATTATGTATTTTGTATTCTCATTTTGTATTTTTCTGATGCAAAGCACCTCGGCATACAAATTTAATTAATAATAGTAATGCAAGAGATCTGACTCTTTGAATTATAGGTACATCCTGTCAAATGTGAAGGGTGATGTACGTGTGTACAGTATTTGGCATATGCCTTCTCCTCCTCGTTATTAATCACTTTGTAACAGCTGTATGGGATGCGGGTGGGGGTGTGGGTTAAACCACAGAGCCTAGAACTTGCCGATTAGAAGGTCGGCGGTTTGAATCCCTGCGATGGGGTGAGCTCCCTTTGCTCGGTCCCTGCTCCTGCCAACCTAGCAGTTCAAAAGCACGTCAAACTGCAAGTAGATAAATAGGTACCACTCCAGCGGGAAGGTAAACGGCGTTTCCGTGCGCTGCTGTGGTTCGCCAGAAGCGGCTTAGTCATGCTGGCCACATGACCCGGAAGCTGTACACCGGCTCCCTCAGCCAATAAAGTGAGATGAGCGCCGCAACCCCAGAGTCGGCCACGACTGGACCTAATGGTCAGGGGTCCCTTTACCTTTACCTTTAACAGCTGTATTCGGAACCGCTTCACACTTCTTAAAAGCAACACATGCCCAATTATGCTTGCTTTGTCGCTGTACATATGTAGTTTGTACACTGGCAAGCATGCCTGACTATGGACAGTAACAGAAAATGGGAGTCAAATGAGAATCGATCACTATTCCTGCAAAAGGAAGCACATCAAACACTATTCGAGTTAAAGAGCTTTGCTATGTCCTTGGTCTTGTCATGAAAGTATTCCAAGAGGGGCAAATGGTGGCATCTTCTTGTCAAAGAATAAGAGAAAGACAACTTGGAATGCTTTTCACTTCTTAAGAAGTACAGAAAAAGTTTCCCTCTGATTAAAAAAACCTTCCCTCCAAAGTGCTGGGGCATTGCCAGTGCTTTATTTCTAGAGAAAGATGTGGCAGAACTCACCACGAACACCTCCTTCGTTCTCTTATAATGGCAATGGCATCCACTGAGCTGGAAAAAGAAAGCCCTGTGCGTTACCATTCGGTGCAGTTGTCCTTTTGTTTGCCTTATAGCTGTATGGTTCCCTATTTTTACAATATTCTCGTCTCCTGTTTTCCTGACCTCACCTCGTTGTTGTTGCGAATATTGCAATAACTTCTTAATGAAAATGTTTCAGGGGACCCACAGTGCAAGCCACCAAAGCTGCAGCTGGCACTAAGAAACATGACCTTAGCAAGTGGAAGTATGCCGAGCTACGTGATACCATCAATACCTCTTGTGGTAAGTAGCTGCCCATTTGGGGGAGAAGAAGCCTGTTGGCTGGTAGGAGCACTTTTGCTTATTTTTTCCTGGCAAAACTCTTAAGCAACTATGAGAACAATTAGGTCCGAAATCTAATAAAAGTGGATAGCTTGTTTCTTGCTGTGTGTGTTTCAGGCATTTCCCAGTCAACACTTGGTGTGAGGCACTCTGTCCCCTGCATATCAAAGCAGAAAAGGTTCTTAACTGCATGTCGCAGATGACTTGGGGATCAGATAATTCCATGCCCACCAACATTTCTCTGATGAAAAGAGGGACATCCTAACAAAAAGCAAGACATCCCGGGATCAAATCAGAAACCAGGACGGCTTCTGTAAATCTGGAACTGTCCCTGGAAAATAGGGATACTTGGAGGGTCTGCTCTCATCCTTCCTAATGCCATTGGCAATGTTGTGTTGAGGCAGAGACCAAATAATACCCCCCCCCCCACAGACACACATAATGAGGGCGGCAATAATTGGGAGAAATTCAGGTATTATCAGTCTGAGTTCAAAGAACCAGGAATAGAAGGATTAAGAGATTCAACTGTGTACGCACAAGAGTTTGTGTAATGTGCATAATAGTGGTGTCTATAGCGGTTATCAAAAACCTGTTGCACAAGCAGAACATCTTTGAATTTTTGTTTCCCTTTCATTGTACCACAGTTGAGTGCAAGATGTAAAACAGCCCTTCCTTGGGCGGAAGATTCTTTCTGCATGCAGAAGGTTAACTTTAGATCTGATAAAATGTGAGATTTTAAAGCTTGAATACTTTTTTGAAACACTGTTTTCGGTGGGTTTCTTTTCGTTTTGTTTTTATGTCATTTTTCTGCTGTCACGTATTTAAAAATGCCTAAACCGTGAAAAAGAAAGAAAAAGAAAAAAGTTATTCCCCAATTTTCTCTCTCTCTTCCACAGCTTGATAAGTTTACACTGTGAGAAGTAATGTTATAACTTGCTCCAAAATAATTTTGGTTGTTTGGCTCTGTCAACACAATTCATAAGCATATTTGTTTATTGCTTTTCCTCACTTATTCCACCCCTGCTGTGTTTTGTCTGAGACAGATATTGAACTGCTGGCAGCTTGCAGAGAAGAGTTTCACAGGCGGCTAAAGGTTTATCATGCTTGGAAGTCCAAGAATAAGAAGCGCAATACAGAAACAGAACAGCGTGCACCCAAATCAGTGACCGACTATGGTGAGGGGAAATCCTTTTTTACCCTAAAAATGCTGGGAGAGAGAGCTAAGAAGATAGGGAGTACCTGAATGAGGTTCCTGGAAAAGTTAATAGTTACCTTAGAATAAAGTAAGAACTTTAATTGCCCCTCAGAATATTTTAAAAGGTAGCTTAAGGTAAAGGGACCCCTGACCATTAGGTCCAGTCGTGACCGACTCTGGGGTTGCAGCGCTCATCTTGCTTTATTGGTCGAGGGAGCCGGCGTACAGCTTCCGGGTCATGTGGCCGGCATGACTAAGTCGCTTCTGGCAAACCAGAGCAGCGCACGGAAACGCCATTTACCTTCCCGCCAGAGTGGTACCTATTTGTCTACTTGCACTTTGACGTACTTTTGAACTGCTAGGTGGGCAGGAGCTGGGACCGAGCAACGGGAGCTCACCCCGACGCGGGGATTCAAACTGCCGACCTTCTGATCGGCAAGTTCTAGGCTCTGTGGTTTAACCCACAGCGCCACCCACGTCCCTTAAAAGGTAGCTTATGTCCTACTAATTTGATCCATGGGATCTAGAGCAGTATGTGCTACGAATGGAAAGCCAATGTGTTCCAGAAATAGGCTTGCAGGACCAAGAGCTCTGGATGTTCTGGGAAACTGGCTATGTTGGCGGGAAGGCAAATGAAGCCAGGTAGCCAGAAAACTATCCCGTTTGTCTTCTGGAGTCAAAATATAATTCATGAGCAAAGCAAAACCATCAGAAATATATTTGTTTAAAGGGGTTTTACTATTTTATTAACTGGTGTAATCTATAACAGTTAATACTATATCCTGGCTGATTTGCCATTATCTTTACTTGAATAAAGATTTCAGTTTGCCAAATGGATCTAGTTCTTGCTTACTACTAGTCAGATGCTCAGGACAAAGAGAGAGTCCAAAGACTTCATATAATGCATTCAATTTTGTTACCAAATAGTAAACCACATTGGCTCTGTTTTTCCAGGTACAGCTTTAACATAAATGTCCTAGGAGACTCTGGTTTGAAGTGTAATTTTGCTTGGGTCCAGTTTATCTCCAAATAACCCAGTTCTTAGCAAGACTTGTTTTCCACAAGTTTGAAATGCCTTTCAGATATTTTGGCTACTTTTTTATAGTTAATAAATACAACAACACTGTAATTGTAACATATAGGAGATTGATATTTATTTATTTGTTTAATTCACACCCCACCCATGCTGGGAGATACATTGATATCCCAGTTGTTTTAAGTGATAACTAAAACTAAAAGAACACCTCTCTTGTTCTGTTTCTTCAGAGACGCTTTCTTTGGCTCTCAGTCCATGCAGCCTTCAGAGGAAATGTCCTAGTGTTAAGAACTTCTGTAGTCATCATGTGATGAGCGTGCCTCTGTGAACTGCTCCTTTGTTTTGTTCAGAGAATAATTTCTGAGTAGAAAAGCATCTGTGGCACGGATGGTTCAAATTACTTCCCTCTATCTCACAGTGCTAAAAGCTTGAGTCTTCCTCTTCCCCTCTGCTGCATGCCCCCAAAATCTGCTCTGGTGGTTCCTTTTACCCTCTGAAGCACTGGGTAAAGCCCACAGTGTAGTGTGTCAGTTTTTGGACAAAAGGGTCTTACAGAAGGGACTGGACCAGATTTATTGGCTTCTGAGAAGTAGATGTATGGGAACGGGACTCTCCTGCTAGCACACCTGAATAGGAAAAGCCTGAGTGAGCCTGAGTCTCTAGGTTACTGGAGTGGGGTACCCGCCAATATTATCACAGGATAGCTAGACAGTTGAGTGATTACCAGAATCTGTTTCTTGCATTTTTGGGTACCTTTTCCTGTTACTTTGGGTGGCATTGTACACGTCATAGTTATGGTATACTGTTTGCTTTGACATTCCCTGTGTCTTGAATTGGTTGGGCTCCAATCCGCTCTACCTGCAAACAAGATAGGAAACAAGCTAAGGCCCTGCGCTGTTCCCCTTTTAACCAGGAAGGGAGAATCGTATATTGTCCATATTAGCTATTTCTCAGGGACAGGGTGGTGGGGATGTGTGCTGCCACACACCCAGCCTCCAAGCAGCCATGTTGTGCCCACCAGAAATGGGAAGGTAAAGGCTGTGGGGAGATGGACACAGTGCAGTCATAGATATGGAGCCAAAACAGGGATGCCCACCACTATGCCTGCACTGGCATCCTGATGGTTTTGCCCGCTCTCCCTCCTGGTGAGCACAACAATCCAGCTGCCAGGAGCCCCTCTTTCCAGTTTTGTTGCCATCCCATTCAGTGGTTACACGTGGCTAATGGCACGTTCCACTGAATTGCTGAAAGCGTGCCTTTTCAGATTGCTCGGATCAAAAAGTTTTATGGTTTCTTCAGTGTCCAATGTTTGTTTGCAGATTTTGCACCATTTTTGACCAACTCAAGTAAGTGAGGGAATTGGTTTATTTCAGCTAACTTTGCACATAGGAAAAAACATAGGCTCCGATTTACTAACCCTAACGAAATACTGTGTTTTGCTACATTTGTGTCACATCATACTTGGCCTTGTAATTATTTTGTCATCTAAAAGTGCTCAGGAAGCTGCAGGAAAAAGATAGCTGCCCATGACAATATTCATGTTACCATAGGAATATTGTTCTTAATTATAAAAAGGAATGATGATAAATTCACATGATGCGGCATTTCTGCAGCTTGTGCCTGTCAGAGACATCTTTTTCTGTTGTAGCAAAACACTCAAACTGTTGTTAATCAACTAACCTTAGAATAAAAATTAACATCTACGGTGCTGGTTTTAGGAGGAGGAAATTAATCTCTCTTTTCCAAAGGGCTTTGTTTACTCTGCAGAATATCCTTGGTCTGAGTACAGGAGGATGAGGAAAAAGACCTGTCTAGCTGCCTTTGAGGGCCAATAAAATGCTCTTAATTCTCAGCCCTCTTCATGGCTCACCATTATGCACATTCGTGAAAGCCACAGCCTCCATTTACTTCAAAGTATATTGAGGAGACTTACAGAAATAGATGTATTACTTTGCATGTCAGTTCATTTAAATGAAAATAAACAGGCTTAATAATTCTCCCAGAAAAATACACACTGACTATTTACATGAATGTTTGCCGTGATGCCAATGGATAAATTGGACATAATATTTATGGTTTAAAGCCTAATTATAGCAAAAGGGTCTTTTTACTCATTTCTATACTGGGAATATTTCTACACTGGGATAAGCAATGGCTATTTCTGGATTTATTAACACCACATGTATGAATGAGGGCAAGATACACTTACTTTCTGTTCCTAGTTGCCAATATGTTGCCTATAAATTGGGAGGGGATGGAATAAATCAATCAATCAGCAGCTCATCATTTTTTATTCAGCCAGGCAGAGTCCATAACCAGATTCACTACTTAAAGTTGGTTGGCTAACAGAGGAATTCAATGTTAATTATTTTAATACTGAATTACTGAAATGTCTTTTTCTGTTTAGTTGCCCACAACAGTTGAATTCTTAGCATCTTAAAAAAAAATTATTATTTATTAAATTTGCATACCACCCTTCATCTATAGATCTCAGGGTGGTTCACAACATAAACAGTTGTTGAGAAGAGTTCTTTCTTAGGTGAACTTGAACAGTATGCACTGAATTTCAGTGGCAATGTTGGAATTTGCAATCAAGTTGAGGCTACTTCTGAGCCTGGTTTCAGTTAACATTATCTGCAGCAGGTTTTAGTGCAGACTAAGGGACCAGTTTCTACTACTGGATCAGATTTATGTAATGCTATTGTGAATTCATGATTAATTATATTACTGGTATTTTTGCCAAGTTCAAGTCTCTCAAAGTTCAGGAAATGGCCCTCCCCTTCTCTATCTTAGAATGTGGGATTTCAGGTAAGCTAAGCGGTGACTGTTTCTCAACCTGTACCTATCATTCACCTTCTCTTGTACCGTTTGTATCTACTCTAGGTTGTAGGGTAACTTAACTTGTGAAACTATGCTTTAAGGTGTTTCCTTTGGGAGCAGTATCGTGATTCATTTCCCTGCTATGGAATACAGACAGTGGTACCTTGGTTCTCAAACTTAATCCATTCCGGGAGTCCATTCAACTCCCGAAACCATTTGAAAACCAAAGTGCAGCTTCTGATTGGCTGCAGGAGCTTCCTGCACTCAATTGGAAGCTGCGTCAGACATCCGGCTTCTGAAAAACATTTGCAAACTGGAACACTCACTTCCAGGGTTACGGCGTTCGGAAGCCGATTTGTTCAGGAGCCAAGCCCTTCGGGTACCACGGTACCACTGTAATCATCTTTTCACAATTTCCCTACTTTCTGTGTAGATTAAACAACAGAAGTAACTGTACTGAAGACTGATTTTGATCCTTGGCTTGCAAATGTTAACCTTAGTTATTCCTTGTAGCTCAACAGAACCCAACAAGCCAGTTGTCTGCCAGGCAGCAGCAAGAGGCAGAGATGAGTCGGCAGCAGCGGTACTTTCGTATTCCCTTCATCCGCCCAGCGGACCAATACAAAGATCCGCAGAACAAGAAGAAAGGCTGGTGGTATGCACACTTTGATGGACCATGGATTGCTCGTCAAATGGAGCTTCATCCTGATAAGCCACCTATCTTGCTAGTGGCTGGTTGGTATTCATTTTTAGTTTTATTATGCAATGAAAAGTGAAATCCTAGGCCCCTTTTAGTGGAAAAAACAAATAAGATGAGATTTGAGCTATGTTGCAGGAAAGAAGAGTTACAAATAAAATCCAAATGCTGTATTCAAAAAGCCTGTACCATCATTTAACCAACTTCATTATGAAACACCCCAAAATCACTTAAGCAAAGCAGTGAATGATGGCTTTGTTCTATCAGTATTATATTTGCAGAGCATCCTTACAGCTTTAGACCTTTTAATTTACTTTTCATGCTTCCTACTAGATTGGCCTTTGAACAAGTTATCCTACTGTTACTTTCAAGGAAAATAGGGGGGGAACAGCAGCTCCTATGCCCCCCGCACCCTCCTTTTCTTCTTTAAATAGAAGAAAATGTGTTCAAAGGTCAGTCTAGCAGGAAGTACCAAAAGTTCCAGGATCCATTTTGCTCCAGAGCTATCTTAGAATTACAATATGAACAGGGCTTCTGTTTGTGTAAGGGTTAGAACAGTATTTCATGCACCAGTATCCTTGGCACTGAAGGGAATGGAGAAACCTTGAGTCACTGGGCTAAAGGAAATTTATGAAGCACATTGCATTTTTTATAAGGAATGGAGGGAAAGGGACCTGTTGATAAAAATGGATGTGTTTAATTAAGCTTGGTCTCCCTAATTTCCAAAGACATCAGTCCTTAATTAGAGTAATGAGAATAACTACATTATTTGGCAGCTCCTAAACACATTTCAATACTTAATACAGACTAAGTTATATGGATGAGTATTACTGTAAGACACTGCTCTTAATCTATATGGCCTGATTTTAAACAAAATCCCATATATCCAAGCAAGTGTAATTTAGTTCATTTAATGAGACTGAAGCAAAATCGAATGCTGATTATCTCTTGTTTATTAATAAAAATGGGATGCTCACATTTTCAGAAAAAGTCATATTAAATGTCTGGGCAAGCGCCTAGCGTTTAAAACCACACTACCCACTTCGTGGTGCTGTTGAGACTGTTTAGCTACAGCGCCACAGACCATGGTTCAGTTCATACATCCTTCTACATCACTTGGTGTGCAATTAAATTGCTGAGCTGATCCCCTTGAAAAGCACTGTGTACGTACAAGGCAGAGAGATCATAACATTTCGCCTGTAGTTGATGCTGCAATCATCAAGTGATGGGCGTGCATATGTGAACCAATCCTCTGCTATTGTTACCGTATTTTTCGCCCTATAGGACGCACTTTTCCCCCTCCAAAAATGAAGGGGAAATGTGTGTGCATCCTATGGGGCGAATGCAGGCTTTCGCTGAAGCCTGGAGAGCGAGAGGCATCGGTGCGCACCGACCCCTCTCGCTCTCCAGGCTTCAGGAAGCTATCCGCAAGCCTTGCAAGCCCGGGGGAGTTCCCGCGGGCTCGCAAGGCTTGCGGGCAGCAGCCTGCAGCCCAGAGCACGGGGTGCCCTCGGGAGGACGCCCCGTGCTTCGGGAAGGTGTCCGCAAGCCTCCCGCGCCCGACGGGAGGTCCCGCCGGGCGCGCGAGGCTTGGGGCGGCAGCCTGCAGACCGAAGCATGGGGTGCCCTCCGGAGGCAGTTGCCCTCCTTGTGGCAATATTGCTATGGTGAAGACTCTTTAAGTCCAGCTTTCTCTCTACATGACAGGGGACTTTTAGATTCTGAAGAGGTACAGGCTGGCAAGAGGCCTGTATAGTATTACTGAAACATGTTCAGACTGGGGTTTTACATCCAAGACAAGACATTCAAATATTTTTCTTTTGCCCTTTTATGAAGAATGGAGTCTTGTTATTCCTTACTCTCAAAGCAATGGCTTGTATCTAAAGAAGCTTTGGGCTTATTTATAGTCCCAATATCTCATATTGTATCACATAACTGTTCCCGAAGGTTCCCAGAGTTTATATTATGTGTATAATATAAATATATATATCTCCTCTTAAGATCTCTGGCCATATTTTTAGCACTGAGGTAATGCCCTTCTCGTGTTCACTGTTACTTTGTTCCCAACTTTATGAGTACAGTGGTACCTCGGGTTAAATACTTAATTCGTTCCGGAGGTCCGTTCTTAACCTGAAACTGTTCTTCACCTGAAGCACCACTTTAGCTAATGGGGCCTCCCGCTGTTGCTGCACCACCGGAGCACGATTTCTGTTCTCATCCTGAAGCAAAGTTCTTAACCCGAGGTCCTATTTCTGGGTTAGCGGAGTCTGTAACCTGAAGCGTATGTAACCTGAAGCGTATGTAACGCGAGGTACCACTGTATGTGTTAAAATCTAAACACAACACAGTAAGTCCAGTGTAGGAGAAACTGGAAACCCATTGTATGTTTTGTTAAATCTGGTGGTGTTTTTCTCTCCCCCCCTCCCCGCTTTTTTGACATTCCAGGCAAGGATGACATGGAGATGTGCGAGCTGAACCTTGAAGAGACTGGCTTGACTCGTAAGCGTGGAGCTGAGATTTTGCCGAGGCAGTTTGAAGAGATCTGGGAGCGCTGTGGGGGAATCCAGTATCTTCAAAATGCGATTGAGAGCAAACAAGCTCGGCCTACGTATGCAACAGCGATGTTGCAGAACCTATTGAAATAAGTAGTCACTTTCTACATTAACACTTGGTCCCCCGTCCCCCACCTTAACAATAAAGGGAAGAATTCCTCTGAGCAGCAGAGGACACTTAAACATTCTGTAATTGTCTAGAGATGTTTAATATAAAGTAAACAGATTTTATTAATGTGGCAGTTTTTAATTTGTATTTCTGATGTTTTAATTTGTGTAGTGAATTCACTAGTTCTGAGGGTCTGAACATCCGTTTCAGCCAACTACGTGGTCTGCTTTTTCCGTTCATGCACCAATCCCTGCCCATAGCATCTGTCATGACACTAAAAGTGCTGTAACATAGAGTAACACTCTACTGGGATTTAACTACATAACAATGACTGCATTTTGTCTTCCTCTTTACACTGTTAATTCCTTTGTGATACCCAGAATGTTAGTCTCTCCTTCAAGATAGCATAGCAAAAAGAAAAAAAGTACATTGCATCTTATAACTGGAATTGTGAGGCCTTATTGTTAACTTCTACTCTAGAGGTTAAAAAAAAAACTTTTATAAGATGAAAGACTTCATGTGCAACTTATGAAAACTGCTTGACATCTAGGTAGATGTCCACAAGAAAGCATTTTGGGAAATGTGTCTTAGGTAGATTGCAGGATTTCAAATACTGAGAGCAGGACAATTGTGTCTGGAGTACTTAGGGATAGTTATGCTGATGCATGCTGAATTTACTAAGCAGTGGGTTTTTCCTTTTTTAACTATTTTTTACAAGACAAATTTGTTCAGGCAATTCTTCATTTTTATTTTTCGGTTATAACTTTCTTAGTCAAACGAAGTAAGACAGAGTTAAGCAATATTTTACAAAAATATATATCTAGATACATTTAGGACTGAAAGCATAAGGGAAGTGGGTTCCATTTTTCATGACAGCAAAGCCTAATTGTCAGCTGAATTTTGCTGTTCCTTTCTACTTCAGTGCAATGCACATGGGAATAGGTGGCTTCTGTCAGAAACTTTCAGACTCTTGACGAGTGGCACAGCACTGGAATTTCTAATTGCACCATGCTGCTTCAAATGGCTTAACTTCATAGTGTTAAAGTAATAAACTTTTCTTCTAATCTTACAGATATTTTTTTCCAGCTAATCTTCCAACTTCAGGCTTTGTGGGCTGCTTTTTTTTGCTAATGTACCCTGGATGGTAATTAAATTTCTTATGTATAACGATTACTTGTTTCACACAGATGGAAGTTGCCTTTTATTGATGTTGCTGGATAGCCCTATAGCTGGCTAATATCAACAGATTAAACCTTGGTATTATCTCAGTGTTAGGAGATTTGGGGAAATAAGTATTGTCTGGTTGGGAGGGAAACAGATTGAATTTGGGGAGGCTTCCCCTCCCTTATTATATTAAGAAGCTAATTACATTTCTGGGCTGTAGTTTTTAATTCTTCAATATACTTTCTAAGCACACCATTGTCACTGCCTTCTGCCGTAGCATGCCTCCTGGCAGAAATACCCTCTGCAGTGTAACAACTATCCAGTGTAAAATGCTATGTGCCCACATGGCTACCAACTTTGGGACAGGGTTGAGAGGATGTAAAACTGCAATATTGATTAACCTCCAATTTTAATGTATGGTTTGAAACTGTTCACACCCTGTCTATTTCCATCTTGTCTTCAGTCTGTAAAAAGCCCCTATTCCTGCACATCAACTTTCTGAAGAGCTGGTTGGCATGGACAGCCTTGATTGTCGAAGTTGCCACCACCAAAAATCCATCAGAGGTTGCACATGCAACCTTCTCCCCCCAGTGGGAGCCATGACTTAAATTTAGGGATGAGGAACCTGTTGCTCGCCAGATGTTGTTGAACTAAAATTCTCACCATTGGCCATTCTGGCTGAAGTTGATGGGAATCAGAGCCCAGCAAAATCTAGAGGGTCACAAGCCCACCCCAATTGAAGGCACTTCTAATCGCACAAAGGAGCGTCTCGCTGTCCCCAGCCTTCATTGCACCATTTGCTATTTTAGAGAAACCCTGACTTTAGGTCAAAAGGAGCAACAGGAAGGAGGAGGCAGCACAGAGCCCGCTTGCAGTTCATGGGATCCAAGTTTATGTATGGAGCCCTCTGTTTTGGATGGTTAAGATCCAGCAACAGGAACAATGCATACAACACGTTTTTGCCATGTAGAGCTAGAGCGAGAGAGGATTTTTGTGGTGGTCCTGAACTCGCAGAACCCCTCTAATCAATGTTCGGCAGAACAAGATTAGTATATTCAATGCAAAATTGTTGAACTGAGGCCATAGGGACTGGATGTTAGAATTAAAGTTATAGTCATAAGCTAAGCATTAACTGACCATGATCTAATCAGATACTTCACTAGTTGAATGCTATGCTTTAGATCTGATTGGTGTCACAAATACATACAAGGCCAGTTGGATAACCAGTGCTTTTTTCCTTGGGGGTACTCAAGGGCACACGGTACTGGCACCTTTTCTCCCTCAAACGTTAAAAGTGTGTCACTTACTGTAACGACTTCATGGTGAGTACTGGCACCTTTTTCTTCTTCTTCTAAAAAAGCACTGTGGATAACACAACGATTTTTATGGCGAAGAGGTTCAGAGAAAGGGGGGTGGAGAATAGTTAATGAGGAATAGATATGTTACACTACACGAGAGCTTCACACCTCTCTGTGTTTCCTACTAGGAGAGAATCACATTCAGTTTAAAAATGCCTCTTACCCTGTGTATGTTCTTATGGTCTCTGTATCCTCTCAAACAGTTATTGACATTATGCATGCTTTTTATTTATTTTTTAAAAATACCCTCGTTAATTACTGCTGCCACTCGCTTTCCTTGGCATGTCTGGGGCTGTTTCTTATGGACCCCATATCGCATCAAATCGTTAATGGCATATAAAAGATGCACTTTCTCCTTTAAATTATTTTCTGTGTCGTAATTTAAAGGTACGGCTTACAAAAAGGGGGGAGTAACTAAAAGTTAAGAGCGTAAGCTGACATAATAGATGAGTTGTATGCATTATATTTGGGAAGCAAAGCCATGAGCAAATGCATCCTAGGAAGTGGTTGTGAAAAAGGAACCCCCAAATGCTTGCATGTGATGCCATCTATATATACTTTTGATTGGGATAACTGCAATATCCCACACTTCTGTATAATCTGGCTACATGCTTCGTCATGAAAATTAGTAACCACCATGGGTTGCTTAAGAGAAAGCAAGTTAAGCCCTCTGTTGCAACTAGAAATGGACCTACTGCTGTCTTTTGGTTATAAGATCTCTGGAGGCGGTGCTGTTTTACTTATGCATGTACATTACTTGAATACACCTGAATGGATTCCGATTATTGTTTCAGGGGATGTGATGTTCTGCTGAAGTTCTTTCTATAGTGTTTGGTCTGCGATGACTGTTTCACATGCTGGTCGCAGTCACTGAGTGATGAAAATGCAGTTATAAACATGCCCTGTGTCTCAATTCATGTTACTTTACTGGGAACATAAAACCTATACAGACGTTTCCCTTCAGAAAATAGCACAATGTCTTTAACATTCCATTGAAAAATTCCTCAGCTTCTGGTATCTCTGCCTACTTTATCCCTGGGTTATTTTCACCCTAAACTGTTTTAAGTACTTTGTCAAATGACCTTAATTATGTACTGAAAATTGCTGCAAAATAAAAACACTCCATTGATCTCTCTGGGATATTATTTATTTAAGAAAGAGTGAGAATGACTGGGGGAGCTGTGAAACTTGCACTTTGCTTTCTCAAGTCAGTGTAACCATTAAAGCAAATAAACGAACAACATTTGATTTTAAAGTAATACAGTGGTACCTTGGTTTCAGAACAGTCTGGTTTAAGAACGATTCGGTTTACGAACTCCACAAAACCGGAAATAGTGTCCCGGTTTGCAAACTTTACCTCGGTCTAAGAACAGAATCCAAACGGTGGAAGGGCACCGGCGGCGGGAGGCCACATTAGGGAAAGCACACCTCAGTTTAAGAACGGACTTCCGGAACGGATTAAGTATGTAAACCGAGGTACCACTGTACAGGCTTCTAAAACTGTCTCATGAATTGCCTTGCATAATATTCCAACGAGGAACTTTTGGGGGGTGGCGGGGTGTGTGTGTCGAGGGTTGTCATTGCTTCTAACTAACATTCTTCTTACCAACTAATGCTTTTTTCTCAAATATGCATAATTTTCCACAACCCAATTAAAGATAGTTGTGACCATAAGCCAGCTTGAATCAAATGAAGCCAAGTTTTTTACAACTTACCTTAAAACAAGCACTGGATTTAATATTTTGTAAGATTATAAAATATTTTTGATTGCCCTTATATCGCTTTTAAATATTTTATGTTATATATATGCATGCATCCTAGATGTGCAAAAAAGGAAAAAACCTTTTAACTACTAAGCAGACGTTTTTCTGATATATAACATAGAAATACAGTCTGTCTACACTCTAGTTAAATATTTTATTATTTTATTGAAATACAAAACATTCTCTCATCCAGCAAAGATATTTGGTAATTAATATTTGAAAATGATAAATTATGGTCAAGAACAATTGTTTCATTATTAAAACTGACATGTAAAAACGATTTCTATTGTTTTTCTTATAGAAATTGGTATGAATAAACATATACAAAAAAAAATAGCTCTGAAATGAAAATATATTGAATACAATGAGGAATATTAACTTACACAACCTCCAATAGTGCCTGGTGTATAGTGGGATATCTTCAGATATATGCCCTAAAGATGTCATCTAGGCTGTGCAATGGTACCTTGGCGTCCGTGTAAGCTTCCTCACTGACTTCCTTAAGATGAGATCTTCTCCATGTATACATAAATAATGTTATACTTGACTGTAAACTCAACTTCTTTTTTTTACCTTGAGGCGGCTGACTACCTCTAACGCGGCGTCTACAAGCCCATATGAGAATATAACTTGGCAGGCGACTTTCTTGACACCGTAAAATAAATAGATGAAGATTAGTTAGCTCAACTCTTACAGGTATTGGCTCCGAGTAAACATTTAAGAGAAGCAATTAGCCATGGTATTGTTTATATAAGCTGTATTGCCTAAATGCACGCAGGAAGGAGAGACGGTTCAGGGCACTAGGATTATACCCAGAGCAGAAATGCACTTGATAATTAAAGGAAAACACCTGCCGCTCCAAAAAAGAAAGGAAGCAATGCTAGCCCTAGTAAAAGACTTCCCCTTAGTGCTCGCTTCCTAGGCACACCTAACTTTAAATAATTCTGGCTTTGGATAGTCTGTACATCTGGGGGTTGGGGTGAAGAAGGACCTCTAAGCTGCGCTTCCTCATCTCTTGCTGCTGTAGAATATTTGAAATTGAGGCTCATGCATATTCCTGGCTGGTTGTAGGATTACACACATGCACCAACCTATCTAACAAGTCTCTACTCCCTATTTGCTGCAGACACCTGAAGCACTTTGTTTTTACTGAAAGCAATTCGGATCACTACCAGTTATGCAGTGCTTAGCGTGCATTGAAGGTTCTGCACAACCTATCGTTCCATTTAGACAAATGACCCAGCACAGAAGTGTGGGTTGTAGTTGGGGTGTGTGTGTGTGTCCATTTTTTGAAAAATCTTACTAGATGTGCCTGCATGTTGCTAGTTGAGAAGTCTTGTACAGTAACAAATCACACCACATTAGTGGCTTGGTGTCTGTTCTGTGCGAACAAAAACAATTACTGCAATCTATCACAACTATATGATAGCAAACACATCCCTTATACACACAGCCTAAAATTTACAGGCCGATTCTCAAAAGCATATAGGAAAATCTCTTAGCAATTATAGTTAAAATAAAAATGTCCACTTAATGTCTTTATATCTGTAAAAGAACAGCATTGTGGGGTTTAGTTTCTGTCTGTCTGATTGTAGGTCACTTTAGGTTGCCCTGAACAAGAGAAAGTGACTAACAAATTTAATAAAGACTTAAATAATCACTGGTGGTGGTGTTTGGGGCTGAAAACCCCATTGTAAGCCTTCAATACGATTCTCCAGTAATTATAATAAAACAGTTACTACCACATAACTGACAACCATTCCAGTAGTTAGTATATGTGTCGGCCACTTTTCTGTTCATTTATTTTGGGATAGAATACCACCGATGGTAACTTTTCCAGCAGAGACTTCTGCATCTGAATCTAAGCTTTAAAATAAAAATATTTATCATATAAACACTGTACAGTTATTAAATACATTTAGCACTGCATTCATGATAACATGGATATTATGTAATGGAGGACAACAGTTTTGACGGAAAATAGGTGCAGCCACCTTCTTGTTTTTTACTCAGATATAAACTTCAGTTAATGTGTTCACTGTTATGGAAAAAAAGTATTGGTTGCCTTCTGAAGCTTTGTTGTTGCCTCCCTCCTCCCCCAAAGACTCCATTTATCCAGGTGAGTGAACTTGGTATAACCAGCAGTCCTCTTGGTGAAAATCTGTGGAAACAAAGTGCCAATAATGTGGCCAACATGGACTCAAAAGACACTGAGAGCTTTCCCTCAAATTCCAGAGTTACCATACTTTTTGCCCCATAGGGCACACCGGCCCATAGGGCGCACCTAGTTTTTTGGGGGGGAAATAAAAAAAATTATTCCCCCCCCAGGTGTGGGGCGGGGGAAGCCCGAGCTTCCCCCGACCCCAGCCCCCAGAACAGGCTGCTATCCGCAAGCCATGGGAGAGCTGCATGACTTCGAGCAGCTCTCCCATGGCTTGCGGATAGCTTCCTGAAGCCTGGAGAGCGAGAGGGGTTGGTGCCAACCGGCCCCTCTCGCTCTCCAGGCTTCAGCGAAAGCCTGCATTCACCCCATAGGATGCACACACATTTCCCCTTCATTTTTGGAGGGGGAAAAGTGCGTCCTATAGGGCGAAAAATACAGTAATTTCTGGAGTGACACATGCCCCACACCTTAGACTTCTCGAGATAAATTATTGGCCAAAATTTATCAGAAGATAACTATTACATTTTCTGAGAATATTTTCTTCTTTGAACGCCTTCTGAATTGCTGGATACTTCCATTCCCACCAAGAGTATTTGGCAACCCCACCCCTCTATTGCCCACCAAGAGAGTTAAATACAGATCCAGTGTTAATACTGTTTAGAATTGCTGAAGGAAGCAAAGCGCTTAGTCCTCCTTCCATCCTTGCCTTACTCCATCGTTACCTTCATCTACCAATGCAAACAAAAATGTATGTTTGCTTACCTCCTCCAATACCCACACCATGCTGCTGCCGACATGTTGGACAGAGAATTCGGGGAGGGGGGATTACAACGACAGACATTTTTGCTCACCCCTAGAATCCAGTTTATACTCCAAGATCCTCTCCTTTAGTAGTTTGTACCAGGTCAAAGTGCAAGTAGATAAATCATACCGCTCCGGCGGGAAGGTAAATGGCGTTTCCGTGCGCTGCTCTGGTTTGCCAGAAGTGGCTTAGTCATGCTGGCCACATGACCCGGAAGCTGTACGCCGGCTCCCTCAGCCAATAAAGCGAGATGAGCGCTGCAACCCCAGAGTTGGCCACGGCTGGACCTAATGGTCAGGGGTCCCTTTATCTTTACCTTTACCAGGCTTTTGTAGCGCTCAGTTTTCTTTTACTTTCACACCACTCTTCAATGATTGTTTAGGCTATTTTAAAAAGGGCTCAACTATAGCAGTGGCAAATAAATACATGAAGGGTGGGTTCTGACTCTCAAAGGTATATATATTTAGAGGTTTCCACACAATATATAGCTATTTACAAAAATAAAAACCACAAACCTTTATGTCCGCTGACTGTTGCCTAGAATCCAGGGCGTCAGATACTAACTCATCAGTCTTTGCTTTGTATCAGGTGGCCTGTAAGGAAAAGAAGGGTATGAATGTTTACTGCGTGCTATACAAGCCATCAAAGCCCAAAAGCTAGAGCAGAAAGTGCTAACAGTGCAGAAGTGCTAACAAGAATGTTCTGGTCTGAAGCTGTGACAAGAGGTTTTAGAGACAGTGAGGGTTAGTCCTTTTTAGTTGTGGAACACCAAAGGCAAGTTGAAGTTGGTTGTTAACAAGGGCAACTCAGAGAAGACACATTTTGAAGAGGATCAAGTAGTATTTGCATGCATTTTACCTCCATGCTCTGTTCTGTGCTCATGCTTTTGCAATGCTCCTTGATCACTGCTCTCTGAAGGACTGATACAAGCACTTACGTTACATGGCCCATGACACAAACTACTGATGGGTTCATGGTGGTCAAAGGCAGGATTAATTCTGACAGCATTCTCTGTGTTGCTTTGGCTGAGAGGAGGACCTCTACAAGGCAGAACATGTTTGTTTAGGGTAAGACTTCCTGTCTGTAGTTTTTAAAAGTTCCAAAAAACTGTTGGGGGAGGGTTAAGCTGCTTACTCCAGTTTAGGCTTGGTATTGCATTTTCTTCGCAACTTATATATTAAAGTGACGAGAAGAATAACTAGGCTTAATAAGCCAAGCATCAAAGCTTTGGAGATGTTGGACCGGGTAGGTGCTGGAGCGTATTTTGCACAACGCCCTCGGCTGTTTCTACGGGCTGGGCATCTAAAACATGGAGGGAAAGGGAAGCAAAGCAGTTTTATGTCAAAACAAGACCAAGGGCACGCAGGAAAAACAATTCAAAACAGGTTCTCCATGCCTGTCCTAAACCCTTTAATCTGTGTTAGGTTTTAGGACTTTTCTTTTTATTCCACTTTTTATGCTGCATTCATATTTATCAGCCGGCACCCAAAGTGTGAGTAGACCCAGTAGAACTTCCCCTTCCTATCTTTCCCCCCCGCTCAGATATGCTCCAGGGGTCCCCACAACCACTCAGAGTGGAGTTTGGAGGCACACAGGCAAGAGAGTGAAGGGGAAGTCTCATGTGGATATCAATTCCACAAGCGGGCTGACTCCACTGAATGCCAGTCATTTATAGGATAGCTCAGCTGATTAGAGCGTGGTGCTGATAATGCCAAGGTTGCAGGTCTGATGCCCCTATAGGACTGCTGCATATTCCTACATTGCAGGGAGTTCCTCAGGGTCCCTTCCAACTCTGTAATTCTATGGTTCCATATTAACTTTTAAATTGTTTGATTTCTTCTTGTAAGACACCCTGAGGACTGCTATAGAGTGTGCTATAAATGCTGTACATAAATTATGGTAATAATCCTGTAATAGAATTGCTAATAATAACAACGTGGTGTAAGTGGCTGACAGGCAAATGTGTGTTCATTCAGGTTTATTTCCTATATGGAGACATCTCCCACCACAAGCACGGTGAAGCCTCAGATACTTACCTCATGAAGCTCTATATGCTCACTTGGAGTGGTGGAAGGTCCTATAAGGAAAAGAGCTTGGAGCAGGTCTTCCTCACAAGAGGTGCCTGCGGGGCAAGGAAAGGCCAGCCTCCCAGTTTTAGAATATAGAAGCAGGGGGTTGTATCCAAAGCAACACAGTGGAGTTCTGCTGGTGCAGCGACACTTCCATTTCCTCGACCCACGCCCAAAATGTTCTCCAGAGGGTCTCTCAACCCCTGGAGCTGATTTTGAGGGTGTGCAGGAGGCTTCAGGGGAGAGGAGGGAAGTGTTCTGCTAGCACATGCCCCTTGCAATAGCAGAACAGGTGCATTGGCTACCAGAAAGCACATGCATTCCTCTCTCCATAACAGGCCTGAATATAGGAAGATTTGCATTTTTATTTTGTTTTTCTATTATGCCTGATGAGGCGACTGAAGGAATTCCTGTCAGTATCTATCAACTAGGCTACGAGGAAACTCCCAAGATTACCTCCTTCAATTTACAGATTCTTAAAATGAGCTAAATCTAAACAAAGCGTCTGGTCCATTACACAGCTGACAAGTACATGCAATGTTCAAATCTGACAAAAATAACCTTTAACGTTGAAGCCCTTTCCGCTGAGCTGCATGAAGTAGATTCCAGCTTATGGCAAACAATGGAGGTGGAAAGTCAACATGACTATGTGGGAACCAAAAACTCGATGCTGAGCACAGGCGCATAACATAGCACTGGCCCATTTAGGCCAGTACTGTTACTATGGCAAGCAGGAGCTCTCCTGGGATCTTCCCAGTCCTGCTACCAGAGAGCTTTACAATTGGGAATTTTCTGTATGGATGCCATAAACCACTGTTCCCTCCCAAGTCAATGTCTAACCAAGAATAATGGCTGCATTCTGTCATGTGATGCTGTTTGCATGATGCAATAGATTCCATAATATCTTTCAAATTCTGCAGCAACACTGATATTCACAATACAGTGGTACCTCAGGTTAAGTACTTAATTCATTCCGGAGTTCCGTTCTAAACCTGAAACTGTTCTTAATCTGAAGCACCACTTTAGCTAATGGGGCCTCCTGTTGCTGCCGCGCCGCCGGAGCCCGATTTCTGTTCTTATCCTGAAGCAAAGTTCTTAACCTGAAGCACTATTTCTGGGTTAGCAGAGTCTGTAACCTGAAGTGTATGTAACCTGAAGCGTATGTAACCCGAGGTACCACTGTATTCATAATCACAATCAGTCCTGCCATCCTCACAGGCATACTTGGTAGGGATGTGGGGATAGGGCCTTCTCAGTGGCTGCCCCCAAAACTTTGGAACTCCCTCCCTGGAGAAGCTAGACTGGCTCCTTCCTCTTCTGGAAGGACAACAAGGAACAGACTTCTTTTAATGAAAGGGTTGGTGCCCTGCTGCTGTTATTATAAATATCTGTACATTTTTAATTGTGTGTGTGTGTGTTTGATTAGTGTTTAATTGTTTTAAATGATTTTTTAAAACAAATAATTTACATAAAAAATGTTTTTAGCTGTTCTTATCCCCCCCCTTTAAGCCGCCTTGAGTCACTGCCAAGGGAAAAAGAGGGGTATAAATAAATATATAATAATATAATAGTGATGACACTTACCTACACACTGCCCCTCTTCCTGGAACCAATTCACACTTGCCACCATTAACACACAAGTGTGGCTCAATTTCACACAGGCTACGGCATGGCAGACCATCTCTTCGTACATAACCAGGCTTACAAAGGCAATCGGCCTCTTTCGTCCAGTCGTTCTTCACGCACTGTGAAAATTCGTCGCATCCCATGAACTTGCAAGGATCCGCTTGATCAGCTGTAAAAGAAAAGGATAATCTTTTTTAAAAATGGGTCCATTGCTGCAGTGCCACGTACACTTGGCAAAAACTTACTCTTGAATGAGGAGGGAAACAGGAGCTCCTCCCACAAGTACAAGTCTATCAGTAAAATACATCTTAGAAGAAGAGCCAGCATCATTTTGCATTTACAAGCTGCAGTTATGGATTCTTTTCTTTGGTGATCTGGCTTTCCGTTTACTTGATTTTCCTGACTGTGACAGTCATATGCTCAGACTAATAATGGAGTTGCATATTACAAATAATGGGAGCCCTGTATCTAGTGCTCCTCTCCATGTCTTAATACAATTCACCCCATGTTCTAACCAGCTTGATTCAGTATGCAAGGAATTGCCAGTGCTGGCATTAGTACAACCAAGAGGCTATGGCATGGCTGGCAGGTAAGGAGGCTCTGGACAAGCTTAGGCAGAGAAGCCCACCTGAAAATGGCCCAAGTCCCACCAGTGGTTCCTAGTCTACTGTTGGAGAAACACTGGTCTAATGACACCACTGGTATTTATTATAACATTTATTTTTTAATACTTAAAATACTCCAAGTGTCATAAGATTTCTTAACTGATCTTTTTGGAAATCCACCAGCATTATCAGATCTTGAAGCTCTCCCAACTCTTAGAACCACTAGCTAGGAACAACTGTGGGAGAGCGCTACTACTCTCAAGCCCTGCTTGTAGGATTCCTGAAGGCAACTGTTTGACCACTGTGGGAAGCAGGATCCTGGCCAACACAAGTCATTGGTCTGATCCAGCAGGGCTTTTATTTCTGGAAAGGAGTCCTCTTCCCTCTCTGAAATAGTCTGCTACCCACACAAGCCTGCGACGCATAGCTGCGTGTGTCACTTGGCTCAGTTTCCTTGGCAGTCTGCCTCATCTCCAGATATCTGAGAACCAGTATGTAGATCTTTTCCTCATTTTCCCACAACACTGAACTTTTAATTTTATATCTCCCAGGCTTTTTTAAAAAGAGAATGTAACAGTGTTTAAAAAATCCTTTAGGACATGCTAAGGAAACTGGTTCAAGTAATTGTGTGCCTTGCACAGAATTTATTAGAATATCCGTTATAGTTAGCAATCCCCAACTCGGCTTATAACACTGAAATAAAAGCCGTCTTTTAATCTGGAGATTATATATTTCTGCAGAATCTTAGGAACAAAGTTGGTTCAGACATAACCCTATTTTTTCAAGTAATGAGTTTTTATCCTACCCTTAAAACAAATAATAGGAAAGCAAGATATATTTGTTCTTCTACATATACCAATCAGGCATTTGTTGACTTCAGTTTTCATTCATAGTTCATTCATTCATCTAGTCCAGGGTTTCCCAAAATTTTCAGCTGTTTTTGGACTACAACTCCCATCATCCCTAGCTAGCAGGAACAGTGGTCAGGGATCATAGGAGCCAACTCCTAGGGCCCCTCAATAAAATATTTGAAGGGACCCCCCAAGTTGATAGGTATTGCCATTCAAATGTTTTGTGAATCTTGTGATTGATTATGTGGGGTGGGACTTACCTGGGTCCCCCAATATTTTATTCCAGTTGGCACCCCTGTTAGAGATGATGGGAGTTGTAGTCCAACAACAGCTGAAGACCCAAGTTTGGGAAACCCTAATTTAGTCCCATCCCTTGCTCAGTGCAGGAAATCCAGACTAAGAGCATTCTCCAAGAGATGGATCTCCAAAGAATCTCATGCGCTGCCACCCAGGGAAATGGTTCTGCTGTTGAACTGTTCTTAACTTTAATTATTTTCTCCTAATGTTCAGTTGACATCCACCCTCATAAAAGCACAAGGAGAGCAGCCCTGGTGGATCAGAACAGTGGCCCATCTCGTCTCAGTATCCTGTTCTATTAGCTGCCTGTGGGAAGCCCACAAATGGAACCTGAGCACAACCGCACCTGACTGATGATTTCAAACAACTGGTACTCAGAAGCATATTGCCTCCATCAGTGGAGGAACAACATAGCTATTCGGATTAGTAGTCACTGGAAGCCTTAGCCTCTATGAATTTGTCTAATCCTTTTATAAAGTCATCCTGTTACTTAATCCCATTAGATCTAGACCTGCCCTCTCGGGCAGCAGACAAGATGTCTCTGCCCTCTTGTAGGTGACAGTCCTTCAGGTATCTGACTACAACTATCATGTCCTCTGTGTCTTCCCTTCTCCAGGCTAAAGAGACCTAGTTCCATCACCCATTCTTCATAGGACTTCTTTGCAGGACCCTTGACCATTGTTGTCCTCTGAACCAGCTCCAAATGTCTACAACCTTCTCAAACTGCAGTGCTGAAGAACCCCCAGAGGAGGTCTGGCTACTGCAGTGTCTCATCCCTTCAGACATACATAAAAACAAATGGTCAACTATGTTTGGTTTCGCTTACAGTGCTTTTGGCTGCATGGCATCTCACATTTTAATCCACAAACTTTGTTCTAGTCAGAAAAGGGACACAATTTAACACCCATCTTGTTTATCACACTTAAATGCGGCATCAACATTCCAGGATGTGAGGCAGAAGGAGGATCCTTCAGGACTGTTGTCAAGACAACACTTTTAAGTCATGAAGTACACAGTGGCACACGCAACTTAGACAAGGAGTTCACATTGCACAGTTGCTATGCCACCTTGAGATATTTCTCACAGTTACTGTCTGTGCCTGCATTAAGGTTCTCTCAGTTACTGTAGCTTGGCTGCCGGCCTCCTCACCCTTCCTTGGTCAGCAGACAGTTTTCTGTTGTTAGAAATGCACACTCAGCTTCCTCCTCCACCCAAGCATATAACCTCAATGTAACATGTGCTTATCTCACAGCAGGGTACTCAGTGCCCATTATGCCATGTTCCTGAAGTGTGACCCTTCAAAGGAACGAGAACTCCGGTCTGTAATGCCTGATGAAATCTTTCACCAGTTTTGTAGAATGGGTGGCCAAATAAACAGATGCTCTTTAGTGCTGCAACTGTCATAGGAAGTGTGCACAAATCAGCAGAGTAACTCAATGACAGCAGCATGTTGACCAGAAAACCAAGTGATCCTTGGGCTATGTTGGGACATGTGAGATACATTCTGGGAGCACATTCTAAGAAGAAGAGTCCACCATTTTCATTCTACTCTTAGATTTGCTTGTAGGAAAGGTCAATTCATTAAAAGAGAGACTCAGTTCTCTGCCATGTTCTACATGATGTTTGGCCGGACATTGGCCAGGGCACTGAACAGCTATGAAATCTCTCCACAGCCCTACAGGAGCTGCTCCCAATGAAAAGCTGCAACAGACCTGCAGCTGCAGAAGGATTGTTTCAGTGACCAGGCTGGGCCCTCTCAGCCAGTAGCTTTAACTGGCACAAGATCCCTGCTGCTGCTGCACTTGACAGGATGGGCCTCTTACTCTTGAGTGATTCTGTTGGTGCTCTCTGTAAGCGTGAAGTACATAGAACATTTGCCAGAACTCCCACTGACTTCATTTGGACTGTGGGCAAAATAATATCTTCCTTGATTTTGGCCTATGCATCCTTTTTTCCAATAAAAGTAAATATGCAGTATAGTCAGTTTCTCTCTAGGTACCTTTTTGTCAATGCTAAGGAAAGCTTAGGGACGCGGGTGGCGCTGTGGGTTAACCCACAGAGCCTAGGACTTGCTGATTAGAAGGTCAGCGGTTCGAATCCCCATGATGGGGTGAGCTCCCGTTGCTCGGTCCCTGCTCCTGCCAACCTAGCAGTTTGAAAGCACGTCAAAGTGCAGGTATATAAATAGGTACCGCTCTGGCGGGAAGGTAAACGGCGTTTCTGTGCGCTGCTCTGGTTCGCCAGAAGCGGCTTAGTCATGCTGGCCACGTGACCCGGAAGCTGTAGGCCGGCTCCCTCGGCCAATAAAGCAAGATGAGCGCCGCAACCCCAGAGTCGGCCACGACTGGATCTAATGGTCAGGGGTCCCTTTACCCTTTACCTTTAAGGAATGTTTAAGAGCTTTACATTTTGTTACAAATAAATAAGTGCAAACAACATGTGCCTTGTGTTCGCTTAGAATGCATATATAAATGGCAATGTTTCTTGTCAAAATACGCATTTCCCCAATTGCTATTTTCTGTTGATAAAAAGCAGCTATTTAAGCTCTTGGGCTCTGTGCCATGTTTCACTGGGTTCTCAGGAGGGACCCTGATCATGACTTAGAGACAACCTGGGGCTTTTCATTCTTCCCGGGCCACCCGTCCTACAGAGAGCAACCGACATCGTGAAATGCTTGCAGGAGAGTGATGTTTCTTCCCCCACTGCCCCATTTTTTACATCACCTGGCTCAATATCAAGGGAATAGCTGTCAATTTCAAGGTTAAGGCGCTGAGCTGCTGCGTCACAAAAATCCTCCAGCACGCAATGGACAGCCTCTGTGATGTTGTACGGCACTGACTTGGCAAACTTCATTTTGCTGTTGACAATCACACTTCCATTGCGGAAGTTCAGTATTTCCAGTTGCTTGAAGCCTGTTAGGTTGGACTGTAGGTAAGGAAGAAGCTACAAAAAGAAAAAAAGAAAAAGAAAAGAGTAAACTTTAAGTCAGTGCTGTCCAAACTTTTCAAAGAGGGCCAGATTTTATGAAGTGAAGGGCCGTGGGGGCCGACCAAAGGGTCAAGCAAAGTTGTTAATTTTTTTTAAGGGTTGGAGTTGTTGAGCTTCTTTTAGGATTGAAGTTGTTGAGGTTTTTTTTTTACAATTTTACCCCAGGAAATAAACTGCCACAGGGGCCAGATTAAATCAACCGGAGGGCAGGATTAGGCCTCCGAAATGGACTTTGGACATGCCTGCTTTTAAGTCCTCTATCACTGCCCATGTATCATTGATTCCGCTTATTTTCACTTTTCATTTTAGGGAACATAAATCAACTGCTCTGTTTCACTGACTTAATTAGCAGACTTTACATCTGCTACCAGGTTAAGTTTCTCAGTTAGTCTTTAACTGTCTCTCTGGTTAGATCTTCTTCAATAATCTATTAAGATAGATAGAGTGCGATTTTCCTTCTAATTAAATTTCATAGGCTGCAATCCAGTTAAAAAAGAAATCAATGGGACTTAAACATGCTTAAATGTGAATTGCAGCCATAGGCAAGGCAGTTCTATGGTTTCAAGAGGGTTTTGCGTGTTGTTAGTTGTTAAAAGGAAAAAGTGAGCCTTGGATATTTATATCCCAGCTGCCAAAGTCAACAATAAGTACTTGTGTATACTGGGAGCTCTGCACTGCATAGCCAATAACTGAACATGTTTTGTATGTTCTTTTGTGGCAAGGAGAGCTAGCACCCTCCAGCTATGATTATTCACACTTCCAACCTCAACCTTCTGGCTGAGGAAGCCAAAAGAGTTCCGCCCTGCAATGGCAGCAGGAGTGACCAGTGGTAGCTAAGGTAGTTTAACGGATGTCATTTTTTTTTAATCTTCTGGTGCCAGTTTCCCTTCATGCACACCTAAAAGGGAGGCCCTATCCTCTCATGCTTCCTGAGCTCTGCTTTGTGGGAGAAGTTAAAATATTCTCTCTCCAGCTTCCCCTCTTCCAGAGGTGCTGGTGATAGAGCCACAGTTAGAGAGGAAGACTTTAACCACCACCATAGCTAGATACACAACTCAGGTGAAGAACAACCCAATAAAATTCAGGGAAGTGCGGATTTTGAAAAAAATGAGTGTGTTTGGGGTTTTCTATTGTTTCAGAAAGCAGAGGTTAGGTTTGCCGTTAAGTGTGAGTTGACTTCCTCTTCCAACCCAAGTTGAGGCAGGGATAAGGTTGAAACTACATCATCATCATTAAATTTCTTTGCTGCCCTTCATCACATGTGATTAGCATCATGAACAGGGTTGGGTAGTAAGAAGAGTAGGTGCCAGTTTTCTTTTTAAAATGCTTTTCATTATTTGGAATTTGTTTTTAACTTGGGGAATGGCACGGGGCGCATAACAGCTTGCAAATATAAATGCATTAAAGCCAATTCTTTGCCACCTACCAGCTGCATGAACTGCTGTTCGAGTGCTTTGTATTCTGAGGAACTCCGATTGAAGAGGTCATCGGAAAACCGCATGTTGGTTACTCTCAAGCTGAAGAAGACTACTAGCTCTTTGCCTTTGGCTGCAGTTGTCATTGAGCTGGTGGTTACGTACTTCAGTGGAGGAGCTGGAGTCATATCCAGAGTTTCAGGCAGTGCATAGTAGCCACTTCCATCCTCACTAATTGTTGCTGGCCTCATGATGTCAACCGTATCTAGTTCAGTAGCAATATCTTGCACCCCCATGTCAAATCCTGTAGGGATGTCACCGTCAGTCACTGCCCACCCAGAGCTTGTTGCTTCGAAAGATTGGTCAATGACAACAGAAGGACCACTGGTAGTTACAGCAGGCAATAAAATGATCTGATCTGTAGGCCCCAAAATATCATCTTCGGGAAGAGAGGTGGGAAGAGCAGGAGAACCAATGACATATGGTATAGTAGTAATTGCAGCCAAAATCTCATCGCCTGAAGATTCCAGTTCATCAGTAATCTTTACATCTAAAAAGAAAACAACACGTTGAACAACAACACTGTAGAAAGCACACATTTAAGGTCTGGTATGGAAGATGTCAAAGCGGAATTGTTTCCCTATTATGGCATTTATGCCCTACTTTCCACTGAAAACACGCACACAAGATGACTAAAGAATAATTAAAATCCAATTCGGGTAATTGAAATGACAGTACAGTGGTGCCTCGCAAGACGAAAAGAATCCGTTCCGCGATTCTCTTCGTCTAGCGGTTTTTTCGTCTTGCGAAGCAAGCCCACTGACAGCTTAGCGGATTAGCGCTACAGCAGTCGAGCGGCTTTTCGCGATCAGCTGTTAAGCGGGTTATCAGCGGAACAGCTGATAGGCGGCTTAGCGGCTTAGGAAAAGGGGGGGGGAGCGGAAAAAAACCCGCGGGGACGCGCAAGATTTTTTCGTCTTGCGAAGCAACCCCATTGGGAAATTCGTTTTGCGAAGCGCCTCCAAAACGGAAAACCCTTTCGTCTAGCGGGTTTTCCGTCTTGCGAGGCGTTTGTCTTGCGGGGCGCCACTGTAATTCAGCAAAATACAAATCAGGGTGCCTTATTAAAATGTCAATAAGCTTCAGCAAATAAATACAGGAATTCAACTCCAATCCGTTATAGTCTCAATAGTCCAACGGAACAACCGTGTTCTAGCTAACCATCTGGCTGAGTGAAAGTGAGGCATCCATCCATATGGAATGTGTTCTACAAGAACTTACCCATGCCTCCTCTCCCACAAACACACTAATTCAAACAGAGGAGGCATGTGGAACATGAATTACAGGGAAAATCTTAATGTGTCAACTCAAACATTGTTCTCTTTATTCTAGTAAGGACCATATTCAGATGAAAAATTGGCCTACTTCTTCAACTCTGTTCATACAGTCATCTCCATGCATTTGGTGCATGCATACAGAGGAAGGAGGACCACCTGGGTTAGCCCTAACCTCAATGTTATGCACCTGCATTTGACATCTGGGGGGGGGGAGAGGTAAGCCCTGCCTTGCATAATTGACCACCAGACGTGGCACACGCACACCATTTGAATGGCAATGCCTATCAACTTTGGAGGGCCCCGCCCCTTCAAATATTTTATTGGGGGAGGCTGAAGGGACTTTGGCCCCTAGGAGTTGGCTCCTATGAATCTGTGTGTCATCTCAAAAGGAGACCCTGTGCATGTACAGCTGCATAATACTGTGCATGATTTGAAAGCCTACATGGTGAACGTTCCCAAGTGGGTAGAGAGCTCACACTCCTTCAGATGTATATGTGTAGGCTGCCCTTTTCAAATGTGCTGAATGCATGGATGGCAGAGCAGGCAGAATGCATGACACTGTGGATGGTGCCCGCAGGTGCAGTCCTTTTCTGCCCCCCAGATACCCATTGTGTCACTTTTAGACATTTCCCCCTAAACTATTATTTTAGTAATGATAACTCTACATGATTACTTTTGTAATTTATCTTAGGTCACCAAATCTCCTTACAGATCGCCCCCTCCCAATCATGTTTTCTCCTAAATGTGCAAAGGCCTTGGTATTCTGTACAGAAATATAGAGTACTCAAGAGTCTGTAACCAAAAGAAATATGACAGGAAAGGGAGTTAAGAGCACAGCATAAAGATAAAGGGATGATGACAATTATATCAAGAATAATTCGCTTCAGTAATATTGTGTCCTACAAGTTGCTATGCTGACATTTCTTGCTCAGAATCTTCATTTTTATGATTAAATCTTCAGCAACTAATTGGTTTGACAAACTGTCGCACCTTTGATGCATGTGCAATTAGGTGCAAATTAGATGACAATGATTTGCCTTTGGTTTGAACATCAAAACGGTAAAGCTGACTATCTCCTAGAGTGTAGTCAATACAAATTTGCTGAATACACTTATGCACATTCTTCAGTTATTCCACAAAATCACTGATTCAATATTTCCTTAATAACTTGCCAACATACCTTGGTCAACGGCTGAGTGGTTGCAAGACACAGAGGTGGGTTGCTATTGACATTTGTTTAGGTAATTCTGAGTGTGACTGGGTGCAAATGAATGAATATGGTGGAATAACTTACATTTTGTTTGAACGCAGTGATTTACTTGCTTTATGTGAATAGATTTAGGTCTGATCTGCAGTTTATTCCCCTCCACAATCCTAGTGAGTGTTGCAAAACAGATAACTCAAGTCTCTGCCATCATTTCTCCTATGCAACTGACTTGTTCTGCTATTGCAGTGCTTCTGGCAAATGTCTTTGAAGTTACGTTACACTCACCCACCCTATATAATCACTGTTTAGAGACCCCTTACCAGGAGTGCTTCCTACAACAGCAACAGGTGGGGACAAATATCAGTGGTGCATGGACACTGGCTCTAGGGGGCCTGTTTCTCAGATATTTCTCATTGTCACCTATTGACTTAGAAGCAGGGAGCTTCAGTGCTCAAGTTGGTGGGGGAGAATTATTAGCCAGACTGTGGCACCACCCCCCTACAAAAAGCAGATAGGCTTACTACTACTTAGGAAAATGGAAACTTTTTTAGCTTATACATTCTAAAAAGCTGTACTTCATAAACTTAATATTCTCATCACCACCACCAAGTACCTAGAACGTTGAGTAACTTTACTGATCTGAACCGCAAACAGGTTGGGCAACAGCTGAGGTTGAGAAGACCTAACAGCATACAGAGGCTATAAACCTTCCTAAACACACATTCCTAAGATCATCTATCAAAATAGCTTCCAGGGGTTTGGTGACCTTACATGAAAGCTTTGCGATAGTTCAGTCAGCAGAGCATGAGACTCTTAATCTCAGGGTTGTGGATTCGAGCCCTATGGTTGGTTTTTATTATTATTATTATTATTATTATTATTATTATTATTATTATTATTATTATTATTATATGCCACCCATCCACTCTTGTATTGCAGGGGGTTGAACTAGATGATCCTCGTGGTCCCCTTCCAACTCCACAATTCTATGATTCT